TAACCCATGACTGATCATTTTAATGTTCATACTACGGCGCTAAAAATATTTGCTCTTGAGACTTCATGACAAATTTTCTATCGGGATGCTGATGGATGACAGTTGCCCTGCACTCCAAGTTGGAGCAAAGAGAAGGAACATACAAGGGTGGAGAAACTGCCTCTTTTGTTCTAGCATCTGCTGATATGAGACCTCTCTTGAGTTAGCAGCTGTTGTTAGACACATAATTTAAACTTATAGCCCCACTGAGGTTTTGTGATGGTTTTATCTTGAAGCTTTTTACCATGAACTTGCAATGCGTTATACACAAACTTCCTTCAGCATTATTTTATTTACTCACTGTTAGAGTTTCATGAGAAGGTGATTGTCCAAAGGGTCTGAGGGAAAGTTGGTCAACATTACATTAATTATAAGATATACATAAAGATTTAAGCCACGAGCTTTTACCTATGCTATAGCACCGGGGATCCAGTGTTGCTCAGTCCACCACTTTGGTCCACACATGTACAAACATTCATGGTCACCAGAGGATGATTGATTGATCGACTGGTTGCGGTGATCACCTGACTTTGTTTTACGGCAAAAGTCCCTTAAAAACTAATGACGTTTCGATCAGTCTCAGCTGTACCATATGTTTATTCCTATTTAGCAAATCTTAGCATGCTAATACCCTAAGCTAAGATGGTGAACATGGTTGTTAAACATCAGTATGTTAGCATTGTCAATGAGACTAGTGTGCATGTAGACTCTTGTGCAAAATGAGATTGAGTGTGTGCTGAAGTGCAGATTACAGTATATTTCACATCATCTGTCTTCCTGTTAATACAGTGTGTTTGGAGCATGAACCCACTGCTACTTGATAACCTGCTTTTTCTCCTGCAAGATGATGGACGTGATGCTACTGGACGTCCCTCTGCAAAAGAAATCAAGGCAAGAATTCAACACAATATAGAAATCTCTTCTTCTTTTCATTCCCACAACATACATGTGATTAAAATGTCTTATTTTTAAGAAGAAACCTCTCCTAAAATTTAACTCTAATGGGAAAAGATACTGTATGATTAGTCTCAATCATTTAAATCTCCTCCTACATCAAGTAACTTTACATCCTGGGTTTTAATGGGTCTGTCGTTCTGCTCTGTCCCTTTCAAAGCTGGCTCCTCTTCACATGTCCTGTATGTTCCAGAGGCTTTGGTACTGTAGCTGTGGCTGATGTGCACTGACATCTCCTGCTGTGGTGATGGATGACAGTGGGCTTTAATTTGGCTCTTCCTTGAGAAAATCTCCCTCCTCGGGAAGATGTGTGTGTTACCAGGAGTGAGTCAGCACTCCAGCCTCAGACACTCCAGAGCGTCTGCTGACCTCTGCTGGAAACAGGGCGAGCTACAGGAGCACATTCCCTCCCTAATACGTACATGTCCACAGTTTGCAAACCAAGAACCCACTTACAGATAATAATAATAATAATAATGATAATAATAATTTCAGTTCAACTGCAAACAATTTGATAACAGATTAAATCAGCTCTCTTTGGAACTGCTGAAGAAGCATTGTTATAAATGAAACATAGAGTTTTTGTTTTAAATGAGGTTGTAAAAGATTATGAAATGAGACAATGACAAAGAAAATGTGTGATGTGACCTTATGAAAATCTAATGATTAAACTGGCAAATGTTTCTTATTGGCTCATTTAGCATCAATGTACATTCAGTTTAAAATCTTTATGTATGTTGTATTAACATATAATAATATTTTACAACCATGTATTGGGGGGAAAAAAATCACTGAACAGTTTAACTGTTGTCACTAAAAACTCTACTTTCTTTGACTGAGCTGGGCATATAGATTATTGTTTATTTTTACTTTCAAATCCCTCCATTTTTTGGTTTATTAACACACATTATGAAATTTATCTGCAAAGTTTAGGTCCAATTAGATGTAATCGTAGAATAAATTTGCCTTTACAATAATACAAACCTGCCGTTTATATGAATTGGACATAGCTGGGTGACCAATTACAAATGCAAGAATTTCATATATGTTTCAGTTTAATTTGACTCTTTTCTATCACACGTAAAACGCTGAACGACTGACAGTAGAATGTATTTTATTTCTTTGCTAAAAAAAAGTTATTCTGAAGTACAGTTTGGAAAAAATGCCGGAGTTAAATTTTAGTTTTTCTAAATGAATCTAATCGTAATGACGGTCCGTGTGAGGCAGCCGAGTTTGACTCCGGAGGAAATGAGCATGGTATCTACATTAAAAAATGCCTTTGCATCTTTACGTGCCATGCGTGTGTATTCCACACCCTGACTCTCAGCAAAACAGAGGCAAGGGAGGACTGAGCGATGTTGGACGCGTTATTATTGCAACCAACGGGACAGTGAAACAAATTGGGAAAAGCCAAGCGCAGACATATTGATTTCCAAGGTAAAGCTCTTTATGTTTCTTTTTTTTTTTTTCTTTTGCATTGCGGTGAAATAGAGACAAATAGTGGCTGGTTGGGACCGCGTATACAGCAGCATATGCTCCCGGTGTGTGTTTCAGTGTCTGTTAGCTCCAGCAGAGGTGGCTCAGATTAGACATTTTGGGTAGTGGCTGCGCATTTCTTAATGTGGGTGTCAGCTCGACCTGCAGAAATGACGACGTAACGCTGAACTTTGCGGTGCCAGTCGGTAATACGTTTGCCTCCAGGAGGCTGAAGCCCACCAGCATCCATTCAAATGATATTTCCTAAGATTTCTTTTCATGAATAGAGCCACTACATCTGGCTTTTGAGCAGAATCAGGTGTTCATTATTGCATTGTTGCCGGCCAGGATGTCTCCACCTTGGTGTTTCCATATTGAAATGCCGGTCAGTAATGTCCCTGCTGCTGCTGCTTTCCTGTAAAGCAGAGCTGTGGTCAGGCCCATGGCTGCTGTTTGGCAGGATGCACCTTCAGCTGACTTGGAGCAAAATAGAAATAGACCCAGAGGCGAAAAACACACAAACAGGTTGCAAAGAGAGAAGCATCTGTGTGCTGAAATCATGCAAATCTGGGTTCTGCACACACCTGCAGAGAAACTACCATCTGTACCCTTCTAAAAAAAAAAAAACACTGTAATGTTGCTGAATTCTCTGTCTGTAGAGAGTTAAAATGACCTTCTGCATCATGGTAATTGATCTCTTGTGTTGTCATCACAGTGCCTGCGATAGGATATCATGTGATACCTTCAGCATCCTTCTAAAGCCCCTTTAAAATGTATTCATACAGCAGGTAGCTAAACTTTACTGTTAAGTTTAAAGCATCTGTGCCAGTGATGACTTACTCAAGGTGTTTTCTCCAGTAAAGTGCAACTTTGATTTTCGGTTCAGATTTTTAAGACTTGCTGAGCAGCAACTCACTCTCTCAGTAGCCTCAATCAGTCAAGTGATTTATACTTTCTCTGTTAATAGTAGGCTACGTCTGTGATCTGTATTTGCATAGACTGCTGTGTTACAGGAAATGTGGTGTCTCCATGGAAACTGGGGCTGTCAAATGATGAAGATAAAGTAATGTTCGTGTTTGAAAGGCCGCCTGTTAATCTTCAAAGCTGTGAGCCCACATCACACCATTAAAAGCTCATTAGGAAATGCATCCAATCTAACCTGTGCTTGTTGGCAATTTTAATCTCTCAGAATCAGTCACACTCATGGGTACGGACAGAGATTCATATCTGTGATGACTTCAACATAGAGGAGAGGAGGAGGGCACGCTGTGGTACTGTGATAGACACATAGAGTAGATAGACCGGATTTAAATCTGTCAATCAGAGTTTGTGTCCGTCTGGTATTTCATATAAAGAGTGGCTCAGATGCTCTTTCATTACACCTTAGACTCTCATGCAGTGACTACGTTGCAAGACTCCCCTTCTGTTAAGATTTTTCTTTCAAATTTGCCTCAATGATGATTTAAAATATGGAATCAGATAGCTAGGCATATGTAGGAGGTGTAACAGCAGGCAGAAAGAAATCTGTGCAAAAACACTAAAACATGCAGACACACTCAATGACTCTTCAAGCTGAGGGAGATGATCGTGAAAAAGTTAACCTATATATCATTTTGCTGGAGTCCCTGGAAGCGCCTCAAGGACCCATGAAGGTCTCTCAGATCCCACTGCGGGATGCGGTGGCCTAGATTTCTCTCTTTTATATGATTTATCATTACAGATTGTAAAACTGCACAGTATAACATGTAAAACTTTGCAGTGTCTTTAACAAGAAAAAGAAACAACAAAACTGAAGACATTACAGAAAACAGGGTGTCATAAATATATGAAGAATCAAATAAAGTGAGGAACCAAGAGGCAGTTAAAGATGTATTAGAATTGAGAGCATTTACTGCAGATGGGATAAATGGAGAATTGAACTTGTTGCATGTAATTTACCAATAGTTAATACCAATAATTAAAAGGTTATTGAATTATCTGAACAAAAGACAACTTACAAAGGGATAGCAGACCATACGTAAGACATATGTATGAAAGTTAAACAAAAAAAACATCTGATTATTTTTTTTCATAAGATTTCTCTTTGGGCAACGCATCATAGTATTTAAAATGACAAAAATATTGATATTTAATGAAATTGAGAAAATACTAAACTAAACATCATTCAGCAGGCAACAAGGTGCTTTCATCATTCAAAATCATATTAAATGTAAAAATAAGTGACACTGAAGTAAACAATCAATATTTGACTGTAAAAAAGATATCAAATACTAAAATAAACAATACATTTTTTAAAAAGCACCCTGCAACCTTAAAACTAACAAGAATTCTCGCGAGATGTCGTCACCCCACATGGACCAATGAAATCGCTTCCGGCAAGTTTTGCCGCGAGAAGCGGAGCCGAGCTGGAGGAAGTGTTTAGTTTTTAAAGAAAACAGAAAGAATCTGGATACATTAATAAATGAATTAAAACTTTGGTAACTTATTAAGTTCTCGGTTAAACGACACGGCTCCGTGTGTGTGGTGAGGTTTCTTCGCTGCACGCCGACTCTGAAGTGGGCAGAGACTTTCTTTGTTGTTGGGCGGAGCACCATCTGCTAGCCTACTTTAGCTAACATGCTACCACCGGGTAGTGTGTGGTAACAATGACCTGCTGTGCTCTCACATACCTGCGTTCGTTGTCTCACTGCTGCTCGGGCAGCTAACACCCGCACGACTCCTGTCCTCAGCCCGACCTCATGGATCCCGGTGGAAGTGAACTGGACTCCAGCCTGCCTCAACCCGAGAACCCTTGTCTGATCGTGGAGGACTCTCAGCCGGACAGCGTCGCTTTGGAGGACGACCCCGAGAGCAGCTACCGAGCTTTGTTGGCCCGTCGCCTGTCCAGCCTGCAGCCCACCGCCCGCAGCCCAGTTCTGGTAAGCTGCAAACTGATCGTAACAAGTAACTAACTTCTAAGACTCTTTGTTCACAGTGTCTACTCTTGCGACTATGAGCAGGCTGAGCCATGGTTTTACTTATCAAACAGTAATTGCACTTATTGCACAATAAGACAAACAAATGTAGGTTACTAGGCAGCAGTGGTGGAAGAAATGGTCACATACTTTGAGTAAAACTATCGATACCACAAACATACACCACTGTCATACACCACCACACAAAATCCTGCAGCCAAAAATATGACTTAAGTATAACGGTACAGAAGTATTGGCAAGACGCACTTACAGTGATAAATGCAAAAGTGGTAATTATGCAGAAGAATAGCCCTTTGTGAGTGTTATATTATTACAAAGTATATATTTGAGTTGTAAGTACTTATGCATCAGTGTATAAGCAGTATTTCACTGTTTTAACTTATTTACTGGTTAATAGTTCATCTAACCTACTTGTCTTTTGAATGTGGGGGGAAACTTGAGCTCAGAAAGCATCCTGGAAATCCATGCAGACATATAGAGAACATGCAAACTCCTGACAGGGAGGCCTGAGCAGGCTGGTTGTTCAGACCATCTTGCTGTGCTGTGAGGTGGCAGTGCTCACCCCAGATGGCCAGATCCTTTAGCTATATCTGAATCTCTGAGCCTTTTTGCTCGGCATTGAAATTCTGACCCCCCTCCCCTCCTGTCAGCGAGGAAGCAAAAGGTAGAGTGTCCATTTTACAGCAGCCCTTTGATCTTATTTTGTTAAATTTGCTGTTTAATTTACTGTCATTCGTTATTAGCTGTATGTCTCTTGGAGTGTGTTTTGCACATGATGTTGCTGCTTGCCTCTGAGTTATCTATCCAAACTTTGTTCTTTGGCCCTTTTTGGGTCACGAGTACATAAATAAAACTAATAAATAAAACCAGACCAAGGGCAAAACATTTTTTCCTTTTTATGTTATTAAGACTGTTTGAACTAACTTGATGTGTCATGTGTTGGGCAGTTTGTTGCTCTGTGGAACATGGTTAAGGTTAACCCTTGGGTTTTTTTTTTTTTTCTCCCAGGAGCTGATATCTTCACCACTAGGAAGCAGATGCTCTCAGACTGACAGCCAATCAGAGAGCTCCCAGAGTAACAACCTAGCTGAACCCGGTCAGTGCTTTTATAAAAGCATGGATATAGCATATACACATGCAGTATATCACTTATTCTATATATATATATATATATATATACACAAAAATACCACTGCTGTTTTCTCTATTTAGGGATCCTCACGGCAGCCAACCCGAGTTCAGCGTTCCAGGAGGAGAGTCAACTTCTGGACATCTGCCCTCCTGCAAACAAAAAGAAGTATGTGGCATTTTTTGCAGACTGACGCTGCTCACGGCTGCAGAGAGCGATAAAGTGTTTTCATTGTGCTTCCTGTTGTTTCAGGTGTGCACCAGAGGACACTGATATGGATTCTGGCGCTGACTCTACCACGCACTGCATTCAGTCTGAGGGTAGGAGGTCTTCTCACATATTAAGGAAGCATGACATCATAGAACATAAAGCATGAAATATTATCGCATGTGTTACTAAACATAACGACGCCTGTATGTCTGTGTTTCAGAGGGGACCTCTCAGTTTGGTTTTCTTGAGCTTTCTCAGAGTCAGGATCTGCGTGGAGAAGAGGTGAACAGTCAGGAGGACATGACTCCTCAGCCAGACAGCGAGAGATGCACCAAATCAGGTATTAAGACTTTTATTTGTAGATGTTGTCTTTTTTATTCTTGTTTGTATTTCTCTAATCTCATTTGAACTGATAGAGAGAACATGATCTGCACATCTCAAATGATTTCAGCATTTATAGGGCTGCAGTCGGGCCTGGTATTGGGGTAATTTGAGAAATTCAGTTTGAGGCCACTGATGGGCGACAGATGAAAGGAAAATCCTCAACAGATGAGTGGAGACACTTTCATATAGGACACAAGTGGTTACTCTATGGTTTCATGCAAATGATGGGAATCTTATGCTGTGGCCCTCACAGTTACCAGATCCCAGTGACAAGGAGCATTATAGATTGTTACGGAGGAACTTAGTGTGTTTTTTCTCTCAATTTGTCACCCTCCCAGTGCGTCTCCGTGTCATTTACACTTGGCTTTGCAGCCGTCTGAACTATTTCATCAGCTCATAATGCATAAATGAAGTATAAACAGGATTAAAATATCCCCTGGCACGGCAACAAATTCCTGCCTGCTCCAACAGAACCACTTAACTTGTACTATGACGCTGCTGGTAAAATGCATACACGTACAGTGTGTGTGTGGGTTAGAGCAGAAATAAATTGTAAATCCCACTGGATGCAGCATGACTGCAGGGTGCCACAGTTCATTATCCGGTACCTGATCACAGTATTCATACTGACATCTAGCTCTGCAGCCGCTAAAGCTTTTAAAGACTCAGTGTAATCTCTACTTGCTTTTCATCAGCAGCAGCAGCAGCAGAGCAGAACATCAGCTCCAGGACTTCAGCGAGTCAGGACAGCAAGTCTGTGAGGTACCTGTCCGTTTGGTGTTTTAAATTCTACATTCAGTGGAGATGCACATGCTGAGCTAGTGTTGACAGTCTTTTGTGCTTCTTCAGATCTGAGGTGAGCTCCAGCAGCTCCTCTGACTCTCCGGGTCAGTCGGGCAGGCAGCTGAGTGTCCAGGTTCTGCTGCACTCGCAGGGTTTCCAGGCCTCTGGTGAGCAGGACCGGCAGGACTCTGAGATCCTGTCCTCGCAGGAGGACCTGTTCGACGCTGACAAGACAGGTACCTTCATACATTCATGGCACACACAAAGGTACTTACAGGATCATGCTGGTGTTTATCTTCGTTCTAACCATTTACTGAATATAAAGTAATTTCATTGTGGAGTGAAAATCAACCCGAGTTACTTGAGATAAGCATGAAGACCACTGACATTCTTTTAGTCTGAATGATTTTATCAGAAAAGCTTTCCAGTGTGATGTATTTATATACCGAGAGGAGGCTTCAACATCTGAGACCTAACAGTCAGCAGCCGAGTTGAGGGTTATTACTGTGAGATGATTAAATCAGGGAGACAAATGGTGAGAAAACATGGATGTACTTCAAGGGAATGGGATAATTTCTTGCTTTAACAAGGTTTGTCGTTTGGCACCTGACACTGAAGTTTTGGTTTACAAAGCTTTTCACCAGCACATGAACATCAAACAGGCAGATCTTTAGATTACATACAAGATAACCAAACCTTTGACAAAAACAAAGCAGGTTTGTTAATTTTGATACCAAAATAAAAGCATCTGAATGACAGAAAAAACACTTAAACAAAACTGTGAAAATGATCAAGTGATTTGTAGCAGATTGGCTAAAACCTGTGTGTCTGTGTCGTTTTAAGGGTTACTTCTTACAGGAGAGTGCTGTTGTCAGTCCAGTTATCCACATTCTGTCTTTTATAGTAGTTGAAACTTGGACTATAGTCACGTGTCACCTTTGTGTCGCTCTCAGGGGCTGCGGTCGACAGCACAGTGTCCGAGCCAGAGCAGCAGGGTCACCCCACCCCGACACCTGCCCACACCCTGCGACTGCTGCATCTCTCTGGACAGGGATCACTGGTGCAGGAAAGTCTGTCCCAGTAAGTCATGACAGTGCTTGTACGCTTGGTATCCATCCGCACACAGCGCAGCCCAGTAAATCACACGACTTTCATTCATGCTTTGCCTCCTTTATCCCAGGAGCTCGGTCGATTATGTCGCTCCAACCCCAGACAACTTCACCCACACTCCCTTAATTGTTCCAAGCTCGCCGACCGGACCGGAGAATGAACGTGGTAAACGACTAAATTAAAGGGCTGAATTTAAATCTGAGAGCAAGTCGGCTGGTGAGTAGAGCTAAAAAAGAAAATCGTTTGCTTCATCAGGTGCTGATGAACCGATGGATACTTCGTTGCCCCCAGAAGATCGAGCAGGGGACAGGGAGGAACAGCCGATGGAAACGGAGACCGCCTCTAAGCCACACCCATCCGCTTCTACGCCTGTATCCCAGAATTCCCCTGGTTTTGTGTTGGAGCGTAATATCTCTTTACCCTCCCAGCCAGATTTCTCTCATGTATGTGCTTCATTTTTCTTCTGTTTAATCAGTTAGCATCTTTATTTATTTATTTATTACTTTCAGAGCTGCTACACATCTTTTTTTCCTTTCCTTGTTGATAAATTTTAAGATAATTGATTAACTGTTGAGTCTGTAAAATATCATGCCCATCACATTTTCCCAGAGCTCAAAGGTGACATCTTCAGATTGTCTTGTCCAGCCAACAGCTGATGTGATCACAAGTTCAACTAAATCTGTGAGGAGACTCGCAATTGGATTGTGATTCTATCCAAAAAGATTGTCATATGATCTTTCGGTCAGGTCGTAGTTGCAGCCTCAGTCTATAATTTACCTTGTGTTGTTTTTTTTCTGTTTTCCAGGACGTGTTTGTCCCAACACAGAGCCTGGAGGCCCCACAGCAGTCGGAGAAGAAGTCGACATCGTTGCCTCGTGAGACACCGTCTCAACATCTGGAGTCGACTCCTTTCAGTTTGCCTTTGCAGCTCTCTGAGAACACGGAGAGGTGTAGTCCAGCTCAGCAGACCCCAGAACAGATTCAAGAGGACAGTCAGGCCACGCAGATCGAGGAATTGGAAGAGCCGCCCGGCGTCGACACCAGTGACTCTGTGATTTCACGCTGCGATCAGAGGAGCGAGAGCAACGGCGCCCCCTCACAATCACAAACCGCCACCAGTTCGAAAGCTTCCACCTCTGCTGTATCACCAAAGCATCACAGCGAATGTGCCAAGGCTGAGCAGACCAATCTGTCGCAAAAGTCCGACGTGCACAAAAAGACAGCAACTTCTCTGAATGTACAAAATGTGAATGTAAAAGACAGTAAGAGTGACTGCAAAGAGGTGAGCTCTGCTGACGCGGTGTCCTGCTCTCAGCCGAGGCTTGATGCCTCTGATCTGACTGTTAACAGCTGTGTGCAGGAGACGCCCTCAGACACTACACCCTGCAGTCTGCCCTCACAGTCCATGATCTCTCAGACATCTGCTGTGGATGTGGTGAAGAGTTCTGTGGATGTAAGAGGAGGGGGAACTGCAAAGAGTCAGTCTGTAGAATCACAGCAGTGTGGAAAGGTTGGTAACAGCCAGACGGACAAAGACGTGATGGATGCGTGTGAGCAGGATGACGTAGAAGAGGAAGAGGTGGTGATGGAGGAGGAAGAGGAGGAGAGTGCAGGGGGAGGCGGGGCTTCAGGAATGGCTCTGGCTCTTTCCCAGAGCCAGCTGTTGTCTCCTGAGCCCATGGAGGAGGACAGTGAAGACGGGGGAGCGGACAGCGTCATCGTGGTGACAGACAGCGAGAGAGACTCCCAGATTCAGAAGAAAGACGTGACGCCACAGTCAAAGAACACCAGCCAATCAGAGATTCTGTCTCCGCCTCCACCAACGGCCACGAGTCCCGGCCTCAGACGAAGGAGGCGAACGCGGCTCCTGATAGGTTCTCCCAGACTGAGAAGGCGGGGCCTGAACCAGAGGGGCTCAAAGACAAGAGTCTCAGTGATAGTTCTGGAGGTGAGCTGGGTGCAGACGTCCTGTATCTCACAGTCAGCAAAGAGTGATTCCCAGCACTTGGTTAGTGCTACATCCACACTACTACGTTTTAGTTTTAAAACGCATCTCTGTTACTACATTTACTCCTGGTGTCCACACTACTCTGGAGTTTTCTAACGCCTAAAACAGAGACCGTTGGAAAACAATGAAGTAGACACACAGTCACTCACTGATTGGCTCTTATCAGCCTCGAGTAGTGGTGACATCAAAGGAATCATTTTAATAGAGCTGAGAGTTGGAGGTGAGAGGTGACAGCCATGTGTCAGAGGAGCTGGAAAAACATCATCCCTGTTAGTTAATGGCTTTAATGGGAACAATATACTGAAATAGATCAAATCTGTTTCTAATGATGCTTTTCTACTGCAGAAATTTCCTTCCACTTCACACTTCCCAAAGAAGGGGAGCTGATTGGTCCTGCTGTTGGTGCCACACCCCCTCTGATCAACCAGCTGAAGCAGACGCTGAGACACAGCACTCCCATTGGTGCGTTTAAACTTGAGCTGCGCGACAGACTTTTCTACTCAATGTCAAGTAGCGTAACGTGATCTGACGCCGAACCCCGTCCATGTTTTTCTCTCCATCCAGAGATCACTTCCTTCTCTGAAAAGTCAGACATGGTGGGTGACGTCTCTGCGGATGTGGCGATGGCTGCCAGTGACATCGTGTCGGGGGAGAGCGGCGAGGACACGGCGGAGAAGGGGGACGGGAAGCTGAGTTTGAGGATGAAGCTGGTGACCCCCGTTGAAGAGGGCAGCTCGGAGCGCTTCAGCCTGCAGAGTAAGAACCTCATGCTCCACGCAAGGGCGCACGCATCTTCTGAGCAGTGACAAGACGGTATCCATGGAGATGCAGCATTCTCTCGTAACCCTCTCAGTAATATATTTCTTTCCACCAGAGCCAACACTATCAGAGGAGGATGGATCTGTCGTCAAGGTTACCACTGTTTCCAAGGCTGTAACCAGGTAACTTTCCACTCTCTTTATTAACTGAACTCCTTCATAACTGTGTTTCTGCTTTTCCTTTCAGTCCCTTGAGAGTGAGAAGTAGCTGAAGGGCGTTCTCCAGTTCAGTTCTTCAGCCGCTGAAGCCTCGTTTACACTGATGTATCAGGCTGTCTGTGAATGTCCCTGAATGTCTCGCAGCCTCATTCAGCAGCACTCAGAATCATGGGTAATAATTTACGGTCCAAGTGGTGGGCAGCTGGGGCTCAGGAGGTAGAGCGGGGTCGCCCACTAATCAGAGGGTCGGTGGCTCGATTTGGCTCCACTAGTGAACCCCACATTGCCCCTGATTCATCATCTGTGTGTGAGTGATAGAAGAAGCGCTGTATGAATGTGTGTGTGTGTGTGAATGGCTGAATGTGGCTTGTAGAGTCAAGTGCTCTAAGCGGTCGATGAGAGTAGAAGAGCTTTATATAAATGGAGTCCATTCACTGATGAAAATGCTCACCTCTTCTAATGAGACTTGACTCACTGCAGATGTCTGGAAGAGGGAGGCGACTTTTTTAAATCTACTAATCTTTTAGAATCAGACTCACATATTGGCACGGTTGATATTATCAGCTGATTTCTGTCAACTGCAGGTATATTGATATTCACATAGAGAATGTGATGGCCATGAACAAGACATTGTAATGGAGAAATGCCAAAGATTACTCTGAGGTAATTAAGAAACAGTGTCTCCATTATGTTCACCGGAGCATTGACAAGTTTATTTTTCAACTGTAAAATATCAGCTCAGTACTAGTTTTTAGTGCTAGTACTAGTTTAGTTTAATTTTTAGTTTAATGCATCAGGTTCAGGTTGTTCTTCAAACTGTCAAAGTCCTGGTCCCTGCAGTCGTCTGTATTAATGAGTTATTCAGTCTCTTTGCAGAAGCTGATTATGATTATGCTGGTGATAGAAATGAAAGTCTAACAGTGCTAATGTTTGATGTCTCAGCAGCCCGTCGGTGTTTAGTCGAGTCAGGCAGGTGCACAGACAGCAGGAGGCAGAGGAGGACAGCCATCCCGCAGGCAACTCTACACCTGTCAGGTAACCACATCCTCACGGAGCCCGATGTCATTCTGTCACATCCTGACCCTGTTTTCAAACGCTGTCTTAACAAGGCGTCAAACAGGGGCAGAAATGTCAGACTTGGTGTGTGTGTTTGTATACATGTCCCTGACCCTACATGACTGTATGTAATACATAACAGACACGGTGGGTACCAGAGGAAACAGCCAGCCCCGTGCTCTCAGCAGTGTCGCCCCACTTTGGTCGGCTTTTTAACCCCACCATGTGCAGGGTTTGAAAAACTGTGACTTCACCCTCAAGAATTTAACACAGGAGGGTAACTTTTATTTGTGTGGTTTGTAGTTCAGATTTACTCCATGCACATGTGGTCTGGTGAGATTCTGCCTGCTGATCTGCCGAAGCCTCACATGTCCATTTGACCTGGGGGAGTATGAATAGATTTCCCCTGTTGTAATGTATTTTAGTAGACAGAAATAGGTCTGCTTTGCCTACCACACTCTGTATGTGTGAGACCTACTTTTGGATGCTGGAGGTGGGGCTGTTATTTTTTGCACCATGTGCATATTCTCCTGGGCTATGTGGAGCAGGAAGGTGTAGTTTTGCCCTCACGCTTTGGCAAAGTGAGGACGTCTTACAAAGTGTCTGCAGCAGCTGAATCGCCTCTTTTATCTGCTTGTTTCTTGCAGTAAATGGTTGAGAGAACTGTGTTCTTTGCATGTCGGTCTAAATAAGAGTGATTGATTCTAATAATCCACAGTTTATTTAGATATGCATTCTCACAATTGTGGCAAAAAATGCAAGCTCCGGCCTTGGGGTGGTGCCGGAGGAACAGCAGTATTGTTACATTAGTGAAAGGGTTTATTCGCCGCGTCGAGCTCAGCGTCAGTTGCGTCAGTTGTACTTTAGCAGACTTTCATCAATCTAAGGGCAGAGTTACCACGTGTGAAGGCAACCTTTCATCATAGAGCGGTGATGATCAGTTTCAATATGGATGTAACACCAGACACTTTCAGACAGTCACTCATGAGGGGCACGAAGATTGACAGAAATAACTGTGGAGAACATGGTTCATTGTTGTGGGTAGATTCTAATATTGACATCTAATATTGTTGTTGGTCGTCAGCCAGATGTCTCACAGCGTCACATCTGCCAATTTTTTAACATCCCTGCAGGGGGGAGCTGTTCGCCTCACCACAGAGAAGTTCCCAGGCGTCCTCAGGCGGATGCAACAGCCTCCCTAACAGCCAATCAGAGCCTTCGCAGAAGGAAATATTGGCAGCGCCGCAGCAGAAGCCCATAAATACTCCCACCCCTGCCGAGCCGTCTGAAGAGAGGCGAGGACCGGCAGAAGTTTCAGAGCCTCCCACCCCGAACAGGACAGACGCCCGGCAGAGGGTGGTTTCACAGCAGAACTCTGACAACACCATCACCTCCAGTCCGTCCAACAAGGTTCGTCAGTCATTGTGCACAACACCACAGCACAGATGATTAACAGTGCCAGTGTACAGGGTGTCTGTGGACTGCTCATATTCTTCATACTCGTAATGAAAGCTTATTGAACATGGTTATTAAAGGCTGCTATTGTAATCATTCTTATTAAATTTTTTCTAATTAAAATTTGTTAACATACTAGTCCGACTGTCAACAGGCAGACAGATTCTTCTATAGCACTAACACTCTCTAGGTCACGTGACACGGTGACCACTTTATCTACACAGATCTCCACAGTTTTACTTGAACAGAGGAAACAAGACAAACAACAGTAGATGAAAGTTTTGTTTACATTTCTTTTATACTTCTGTGGAATTTTAAATTGATTTTGGCAAATTTATTTTTTGAACAAATTAATATTTGATGAATCAGGTTACACAGTACAATCTGCCTTAACAAATCTCATGTGGGACTTACTTCTCCCAGTCGCCTGCAGGTCATGAAACAAATGTTTCATCTTTTGACTAATAATTAAGGTCATAAAGAGTCTGAAATATGTTTGGTTGATTTTGAGTTTTGAATATGTTCTCAGGTGTTTTGATGGAAAGCTTTTTATATTGTTTTGATGATTTACTTTACCTTAAATTACTGTACAAACAAAGTTTATGATAAAGTTAATTAGAGCTCATAACATTTCATCTTGACTTCATGGTTTATACACTTTGAAGAAATCACGTTTCACGTTACATCACAGGAGTTTCGCGGCAGCTTTTGTGTTCAGTGTCTTACAGCATGTTCATTTAAATTCCATAGAAATAGGAGTTAGTTGTCATCCATACGTAGAAGTGAATCCCCCTCAAACAACAACCACTTCAAGTGCTGTTCAGTGTGGTCAGGATAAGAAATGAGACTTAAAGCAGTGCTAACATGAGGTGTGGAGTCACGGTGGTGTTGATCGCTCTGTCCTGTGTGTCTCAGCTCCGTCAGCGGACAGTCTCCCAGCAGACCAGCTTCGACGCCCCGGGGCTGCGCTCCCCAGCTGGCAGGGTACGGAGAGCCAGGTGTATAAAGAGAAGGAAGTTACAGTCTGTCTGTGAATACTGTTCATCTGACGCTCTCTCGTTTCGTCTGAAAGGGTGAACCAGAGTCTCCGTCCTTCAGAAGAACCGCAGGCCCCTCCCACTGCAGACACGTGCGCACCATCCAGGAAGTGCGGACCACCATCACGCGGATCATCACAGATGTGTATTACGAGGACGGCAAAGAGGTGGAGCGCAAAGTCACAGAGGTAACCGTCAGGTCGTTTCTGGCTCTGTCTGACCGACAGGCCTCTGAGGCGTGTGGTCATTTTAAAGATCTAGGTTGTGCTGCTGTTGAATTGTATTTGGACTAAACATTGAAAATCTTCTCAGTTCAACAACACCACAAACTACATCCTCCAAAAGGAGCGTTAAGTTGAATCAACACCTCTCTACAACAAAAACTGAACATTATAACCGTCATGACAGTCAGATTTGTTGCATTTTGGTTGGATAAGCCGGGAACACACCGGATGAGTGGCGTGCACGTGACTGTGGAACATTTTGGCGCCCAAGTTAAGTGGTTAGAGCTTGACACGTGCATCAGACCTGTTGATGTCATATGATATAGTATAGTTGTGTATGTGTAGGCTAAATGTGAATATGACACGGGCATGAGAAGATATAAATATATTCTTGCACCATTTCAGCAGCTGCCTGTGGACACACGCAGCTGCTGAAATTAATTTAGAATGAAAAGAAATCCAACCCTCTAGTAGCCAACAAACTCTATATGGAGAGATAGAGCTGGTAGAAGCAGCAACACAGTCTCACACACACACACACACACACACACATTTCTCTGCAGCAGTTCAGTGATGCAGCCGCCACGCACACGCATCACATGCAGGGTGTTCTCGGCATTAGAGTGCGTTAAGTTTTGCTTACTGGACCTAATGAACTGGAAACTAAGAATTCAAATGATATTCCACAGATTCAGTATTGCACTGTTATAAAGTTGGGAGGGAGATTTGCAAGAGAAATATTAAAAACAAAATAGTCAAATAAACACAACCCTTATTAAGGAGAACTGGTGCCGTGTGCACTTCCTCACTTCAGAGGATGTGAACTAGAGTCCTTCTCCAGCTGAGCCACTTTAGCCACTTGTGTGTCTTGAGACTTGAGACCGGTGGAGCTGGCTGACTTCCTGTTGGCTCCATCCATCCATTATCTACACCGCTTATCCTTCTGCAGGCTGCCAGCATGGCTGCAGACTCTGTCTGGTTGTGGCATTTATTGTTAAATGGATATGATATGATTTGCAGCTTTGGTTGCAAGTTGAAGATGTACATACTCAGAATCTTTGTGGCTCAAGTGTCACTGATCTTTGTCGATGTTACTAGGAGAGCGAGGAGCCAGTGGTGGACTGCCACGTGTTGGACAGCGACATCTCTCCATGCCGCACGGGCAGCAGCTCCGTGAACTCCGGTGACCTGGCTGACATCAGCTCTCTGTCGTCCAAGGCCTCCAGCCTGCAGCACAGCTCAGGAGGAACCAGTAGCAGCACCGGTCTCACCAGGCCGGACTTCATCATGCCGCCCAGCCGAGGGGCCCGATCCTTCAGGTACCACCTCCACCTCCACCTCCACACTGTCAGTCAAATTCTCGTCGATTCTCTTCGGTGCTGTCCTTACGTTCTCTCTGCTTCACCTGTCTGCTAGCTGCATGCTGAGTCCTGTGTCACTCCTTCACCTTCTTTGACTTTAACCCTAACACCATAATTTCTCAGTGATTCACTGACCCGTGCCTGCTGCAGGTACAAGTTGCTTCCAGGCATGAGTCTGGGGTCGGTAGATACCCCTCATTCCTCAGCGGGTCGGCTTTTCATTTTGAGAGCATCCCCAGATCCGTGCCTGTGCAACCTGACCGGCTCCGTTCGTCCCCTCTGTGTGTCTGCAGTCCCAGGAGGGGAGGTGGGCATCAACAGAGGGGTCACAGGGGTCAAAGGGCAGGGTCAGTGATCACAAAGGGCAGAGGCTACGGCACCCTTGGGTCCCGGGGCTTCGTCCCACTGACTCCCAGAGGAAGGGCTAGAAGGGGCCGACCTCCGTCCCGCTCCTCCCTGTCCAGGTGAGTCCTCCCTGAGGCTCGCCCTGCACATCAAGAAACCAAGTGATAACGAGCAAACTGCTTGAACCCTAGTAACACTCTACTTTTCCGCTTTTCACTAATCTCCTTGTACCTAATCTTCTCACTCAAAGCTGCAGCTAATAAATATTTTCACTGTCAGTGAGTCAGATTTTACAATGATTGATTAATCTTTTTTGCTTATTGTCTGTGAAATGTCTTAAATTAGTGTGATGGTCGATTCTTTAGTTCTGGCTGCTCAAGGTGACGTCTTCAGATTGTTTGCTTTGCTGTTAACTTTCCAAAAGCCAAAGATATTCAGTAAACAGTGAGGAGAGAGGAGCAACACAAGCGCAGGCTGGAACCAGTAAAAAACTTTTTCTTGATAAATGACTTTCTAATCAATTAATCAACCAATTAGTTTCACAGTAATGTCTAAAAAAAAAGTAAAGTCAAATATTCAGATTTCAGAATTAATTTTCCAAATTAGCTACAAATCAAAAACTTTAAACTGTACTTATTCTACAGCAGCACAGTGTATTGTTACTGTTGTTTTCTTTTTCAATATAAACCTCACAAACACTTTGCAAATGTGCACATTCTCTTGTTTTATTTTTTTTTATTATAAAGAGCAGATTGTGTTTGCATCACCTGCCTGCAGACACTCAACAGTTAAAGGCTTCCAGCTGCTGGAGAGAAAGAGCCTGAAACAAAACAAAGAGTCACGGCTAAAAAAATCTGGTACTGTGACGCTGCTGAATCCAGATGTTAGAGCCAGTGAGCGTGGAGTGATAAATGATAAAAGTTAAATCACAAAAAAATAATAAAAACAAAAAGAACCACAAAGGAATATCATAGAATACTAACGGACATGTCGGATATTAGTTTTACATGGTAGATATGAGATATAAGAAGAAGATGTACAATAAATGCTTAATTCATTTGGTAATTAATTGTGCAGCAAACAGACTCTTTGTTTTCAGGATCTATACCAGCAGCACCTACATTCAGATTTGGAATATAAATCTTCAGTCACATCTCGTATCACAGAACAAACGTATTTTCTACCAGCACAACCGAGATGTTTTGTCGATGCATTTGGTTCCACTTCACATTATTTATTGAATATATTGAATTCTGAACAAACAAAAGCTCTGACACAATTTCTAATGGGTTATGTGAGAGTTATGGCTGTTTTTCAGTTTAGATGTTAAATAAATTTAGTCAAGGCAGCCGTTAAAAAACCAATCTACATATGAGACATCACCTGGAATTTAACCACTTGAGAGAAATGCTAATTATCTTTAGACAGATTAAAAACAGAGAAAAAAGTGCGTTCTCACAGCAGGAGCCGTGTAAATCAGTGTCTGATCAGACCCCGTGTTTCTCTTCAAGGGGAGGTGGCGTTGGTCCGTTGCACAGACTTGGTGCTCATGGCCAGCCACAGTCCTCCTCAGAGGACGAGCCCTACACCCGCATGCTCCCCCCACGCCTCCCCATCAGCTCCACAGACGCCGAGCTCCCCAGCCACTCCGACTCCCTCAGGTCGTCGCCGGAGGAGGCGAGCCTGGCCGGCAGCAGCTTCGTCGGCCTGCGGGTGGTGGCCAAGTGGTCGTCCAACGGCTACTTCTACTCGGGCCGCATCATCAAAGACGCCGGGGAGGGCAGGTTCCGCCTGCGATTCGACGACGGTTACGAATGCGAGGTGGTGGGGAAGGACATCCTGCTGTGTGATCCCATTCCCCTGGAGACGGAGGTCACCGCTCTGCTAGAGGACGAGTACTTCAGCATAGGTGAGGGAGGAGAGGAGGGGCGTGTAGGATCCGGGTTTAGGTTTATGGGTCAGAACAACATCTGAGCTCAGTGAGAACAGAAAATATTGAGGTTGTTGAGAACAGAAAACAGGTGAGTTCCTCCTGTACAGATCCTCAGTTGGCTGTTCTACCTCAACAAAAACGTGCATTGACATATTCAGTGTCCGTGGGGGAATATCGATATACAGTTTGTACCAATGTATCAACGTCTGGTGTGTGCAGGTGTTGTGAGGGGCCATAAAACAGAGGGCCAGGAGCTGTTCTACAGCGTGGAGCGGGACGGCCAGAGGCAGTGGTACAACAGGACCTCGGTCATCCTCTCTCTGGAGCAGGGCAACAAGCTGAGGGAGCAGCACAGCCTCGGGCCCTACGAGCCCTCCACTCCCCTCACCAAGGCCTCCGACATCAGTCTGGGTGAGACGGCCGCAGCTGGACACAGATTTTCACACATCTTGATCTTGATGAGCTTTTCTATGTTTTTGGCTCAGTCAAGAGAAAATGAATCAAAAAATGAAGAGCACCTAGGAGGCGGTGCTGAGGGGGTTTCTCCTTTTATCAGATAGTATCCTAACAGAGCGGATGGGAACCCTTTAGCCAACAGGACAGTGTCGGCGTGGGTTAATCCACCCTAATTACAAATTAGATTTTAAAAAAGACAGAGTGTACAGACGCTCATCAGAAACCTGCTCCTGATGCTAATATGCTAATATGTTTAGCAGGTATAATGTTGATTATATGAAGGTTTGATGTTTCTTAGTGTTATTATAATGTGTGTTAATATTAGAGCTACAAGTAATGATTATTTTCATTATTAATTAATGCACAGATTTTTTGTTTTTCTTCACATCATCATCTTCACAGTCTTTGTACTATCGTTAGGTGTCACTTCATTTGTCTTAATCAGATTTCATGGCAAACCATCCAACACTTGTTGAGATATTTCTCAAAACATGAATATTAATCTCATGTGGTTTTATTGTTTTCCTTAGATAACCTGGTGGAGGGGAAGAGGAGGCGCAGAGTGGCCCCCGGAGGTCAGAATACTCCCAACCGCAGCTCCTCCAGCAGCCCCCGTACCCCCGGCCCCTCCGGCAAGAGGAAGCTGATGACCTCTGAGGACAACAGGACGCCGGCCAAGAGAGGCCGCAGGGGTCCAGGCGCCAGAGCCGGTACAGAGACCTCATCACCACAACCATGACCACATCTGAATGGGGATTTTGGGGGGGGGGGGGTTGTTTTCATATCAGGATTTGCAGTTGATAATTATGAGAAGTTTATCTTTCCTTTATTTTTTTTTTACTCTTGCTAAATGAGGCTTGTTTGTAAAGACGGCCGTCAGTGGAGCCATGAGTCGGTTTTAGATTTTAAAACATTCTGGTGTGAACGGACTTTAATATAAAGTTTTTAAAGTTTTACTTACTCATGCGCTTTGTAGGTGAAATGATGACTTGATTTTTAAATGGTTTTTAGAAAAGTTATTTATTATTACATCTTATCATTATACTTTTTAAATTTTTGTTTTTGATGTAGTGATGATTTTAGATCGTTATGTATTATGTGGAATCAATGATGTGTGACTTTTGTGCCGAGTGTAACTGAGACATGTTGACCTCCATATGACCCGTGTCCGTCCTCTGCTGCCGTTTGCCGCCTGCTACTGAGACTGACTTGGTAATTAATAACGAGCCACCAGTATTAACATGGTGTTGGTCCACAGGTGGAGGGAGGATGCAAGGTGTATTTCACGGGTGTTTTTGCTTTAAGAATTATTTTAATACATCGTTCACATGTTCGATGCTCAAACGTTCGGTTCAGTCAAACATTTTCTCTCTCTCTACTTGTCTCCAACTTGACATTAATGGTTTTTATTTGTCCAGATGTTTCTGCATTGATTTGAACAGAAACAGCTGCACCTGTCCCTCTGGTTGACTCACACTCTCAGAAGCTTTAACAGGGAATATTTCACAAGTGTCTCATATCTCATTTCATATCTCCTGGCTAAATAAAGCTTTAAGTGAGGGTTTTCATTTGTACTTTGGGTGAACTGCTCCTTTAAAAAAAACCAAACGTTTCTTTTAATCTGACTCCTGCTGTTCCCATGTTTTCTACTTCAACGTGCGTGTGCGTTTCTGTCCTCAGCTCAGCGGGTCGGTGTGTGTAACACCTCCGGCAGCGGCACAGATCTCCCCGGTCAGTCGTGTGGCGTGGCGGAGACTCACGGCCCGCTGCCCCAGAACACGTCTCTCTTCATGGGCTTCGCGTTCATGCTAACGGCCTCGTCGGAGATCGACCGGCTGACCAACAAACTCACCTGCGATGAGGATGAGGAGGGTGAGGCAGACAGTGACCGTGTTGCAGTGTATCCCAGCATGCAGCATGCTGAACAGGCTGAAGCTTCCTTTCCTGCTTCTGTTACCTATCGTAGGATAATTCGTATATTTTCCCCCTCACAGATTACATTCAGACAGGTCCATACAACAAGGCATACACAGAGTCCCAGCTGCTGGCAGGTGGAGGCTTCATCCTGCCTGACTTCAATGAAGAACAGGTGAGTGCTCTTAAAAACACAAACTATCATAAATCCCAACTTGGAGAAAGTAGTTGAAAATGTTATTATTGCTACAGTATTTATATCTGTAAATGATTCTGACTGTAAGGAGCTGATGTCAGATCAGCATTTATTCCTCTACCTGCTCATTCATTTCAACTTGTGCGACATAAATAGGAAAAGTTGCAACTTCAGTTTCCTCTTCTGGGAGTTAACGGTTGTCCCCACCGTGCACAGGCTTTTCAAAAACTGAAACTATATATTTGAGAGGTTTTTTTTTTTTTAAAGATTTCTTCAGTTTTTTCATCTTTAAGTGCCAAACTATCACATAGATTCTGTCAGACTACAGTAACAACATGAACATGCAAGTTAATGACAGTGTTACATTTTCCGCGATACTTGTTGAAGTTTCATTATATTTTACACTTTTAATTAAAGCTGTATGTATCATCTTACTAAGTCTAGATTTATCATGTTTATTATTCCATACTTGTTTCTATATTAACCCAACCCTTCATGCATATTGTTGAAGATGTGGTCTTGATTCCAGTTTGACAAATACTCAGCACTTGTCTCCATATTCTTCTTCTGCTGTGTTTGGTTCTCTCCTCAGTGTAAGGCAGCGTACCAGAGCCTGCTCATTGCAGACCAGCACTGCCGTACCAGGAAGTACCTGTTGTGTTTGGCCAGCGGCGTGCCGTGCGTGTCACATATTTGGGTGCGAGACTGCTGCAAAGAGAACAAGCTGCTCAACTACAGGAATTACCTGCTGCCTGCCGGTGTGGGGCTGGACGACGCCGTAGTAGAATGGTACGACGAAGCTTCGCCTTGTGTTGTTTTTAGGTCCTTTCTTTTTCACTGGATGGATTTTTACCTCTCATGTTATCATTAGAGTGACAGATAAAATCCTGCTGTGATGAAGGTATTTTTTTAATCCTCAGATTTAAATCATGTGGATCAAGAAATATTCCTCAGTTACACAGTACAAGTTATTATTAAACTCTTTCCCACTTCATCCCTTAATCCCATTAAGACTGTAGCCAGCTGACACGTCCTCACTGTTTTGGATGACACAATGAAATTATAATCACTATTCTGCATGAAAATATAAAATAAATACTGCAGAGATTGTACATGATAATAAACTTTAATATTCTTGATGCACCCTACAAATCAAGCAAAGTTACATCTGCTGTCACTGGTACATCAGCTGTTGTTGGTGATAGGTGGAACACAGGTGTGTCATAAGGCTGCAGCTAATGATTATTTTCTTCATCAGTTAATCTGCAGATTATTTTTGTGATTGATGGATTCATTGTTTGGTCTGTAAAATGTCAAAGAGTGTCTAAATACCCAAAGTGACCGAGATGACGTCTTCTTGTGTTTGACCAGCAGCCCAAGACCCAAACAAAGTCTGTTTAAAATGATCTATGGTGAAGAAAAGCAGCAAATCCTGCCATTTAAGAACATGGAAACAGAGAATATTTGGTATTTTCTCATTGTTTTTCATTGAAATTATGATTTTTTTTTTTTTTGATTGGCTGACTAATCAATTAATCAACAACTCGTTTCAGCTCAAGAGTGAAGCAGCACTGTTGAACCGAGCATCAAAGATGACCCATGACAGTAAACCGGATCATTAAAAAAGCCGTCCCTGCATTTCACTCTGCTGAACTGACAAATCAGTCTGTTCCCTGCAGGCTGCTGCAGGCTGCTGCAGGCTGCTGCAGGCTGCTGCAGGCGGTTCGTGTTCATGTTTAAGTCAGAAAACAAGCAGATACACAACCTGAAGCTTTTCAGAAACGATGGAGCCGGCACTAGATACAAATGTGGCTCCTACACGAACCACACTCAATCACTGTGGCTGTTTTTTTTTCTTAAACAGCAACAGTTTTATAATGAGAAATGGATTAGTGGTTCCAAACAGGAAAGTCGTGTACATACCATGGGCAATAACTTTGCAGAATCCAAGGTGACACCTTCAAATGTCTGGTTTTGTTCAGCCAACAGTCACATAGCCGAAGATATTCATTTATTATTACACATGACCAAGAGAAGCTGAAACCTGAGAACGTGTTGAACTTTTCACTTTCTTTGCTTGAAAAATGACTAATCGATAATCAAACTAGTTGCTGATTATTTTCCCTTTCAATCGATGAATCTTTACTCAGCTTTAAATACATATTTTTCTTCTCTCCTATCAGGCATCCCCGCAGCAGTCCATTCAAAGCCCTGCGGGTCCTTCTAGTGTTTGAGAAGCCAGTGGAGCTCTGGGCCCAGCTGATCACCATGGGTGGAGGCTCCTCCGTCCGACACTTCCAGGGAGACAAGGACAGCTCAGGTACAGAATCCACAACAAGACGTCCAGACCATGTGTCAAACTATTTATCCTGTGACTCTGCTGTAAGTGAGACTTTGTGTTTCCCCATCTGTCTGCAGACATTCCTGCTGGCAAGTACGACGTTGTGGTGACAGACCATGCCTGTCCACCACTGGTAGAGAAAAATGTGACATCGCAGGAAGTCCCGCTGGTGTCTCCTGAGTGGCTCATTCAGAGTGTCATCAGTGGGGAGCGCGTGGGTTTCCACAGCAAGCCTCAGTATCACCACGACTACTCGTCCTAATCTGACTCCACATGTGCAAAATGCCTTCGACCATATTAAATGTTCAACATTAGTTCTGTTGCATGCCTCTGCTGTATATAACTTTATCCTGTCTGTTTTTATGGGATAATAAATTGTGACCCTGGTTTCATTTAATGCAAGTTAAATTTATTTTCTCTACAGAAAATGGTACATGCAACAAGGCTTTAGTATTTACAGTTTATACAAAGAAGCATGGAGTCAAAAGATCAGATCATCCAAACTACAAAAACATTTCCCCCATGATCCTCGTGGGATTTCACTTTACAAAAGTGTTTTCTGCCTCATCACACAGCAGTGGAGGTGAGTGGAATTTCGTTTGCTCGCGGCACTGAAAAATGACATTTAAAAATTCAACAGCAGCTGAAGTTTGTTTCATGAAGCAGGTTTAAATAAATTCAGCCTGAGTTCAACATTTTAGGAAATGCGCTTATTTGCTTTGTTGCTGAGTCAGCTTCATATTTAACAGAAGTCTCAGCTGCAAAGCAAAATAAATAAATAAATAAAAAATTATTCCTGTGATTAATCTATTCCACAAACAATTAATTTAATGTACAGAGAAGTTTTAAACCTTGGATTGAAATGAGATTTTATGCTCAAGCTTGGTTCAGTTTTTAAGGCTTAATAAAGCCTTACAGAAAGTTAGCTTTGATAATCCAAAGACCTCACTGTGAACAGATGTCACAACAACTAAGTAACACTGGGAAAAAGAATCCCAATGACATCTGTTCACAGTGAGAGGTCATGACCTCTGAAGATTTTTGTCTTTTTTTTTTAATCTAATTCTGGCTGTTCTCTCTTCTTCCTCCTGTTGTATTGAGGTGATGTTTGATCATCTAAAATAAAAAGGATGCACAGCCCGATGCCACTAGAAGAGAGTGAGGAAATATGATTTCATAATTTTGGATGAACTGATCCTTCTAAAGATAATTTTAACAGACATGCCACATTAACACGGAGAAGACTGGAGGGAGTTATGTACAATATTTTCTTCTGTCCAGTGTGAAAGTTCGGCACAGATGACTCATCTCCAAACCTTGATCCTTTTTGCTTTTAAACGCTGAAAAGAGAGAATTTTGAAAAACTTTTATTTTCAGTTTAGAAGTTAGCATGTGCACCACTGTGCTTTACTTTGAGTATCAGGTATGTTAAATGATCTGCACCAGGACAGTTTGAGATATGACAATCCTACCTGCCCAGGGTGCCTCCAGCCTGTGTGTAGTACTTGTTGTAGTCCAGTCGCAGTAACAGCTGAGCCAGGTCAGAGTTTATCTGATGATTCCTCACACTTGACAGGATTTTGAACAGTAAGGACGATTGCCGTCTGAAGCCCTGAAATTCAACCGTGGTAGTATTTAACAAGAGATATTTTTTACATGTTCCAACATTAGACAAATAAGGACAGAAGTGACTCTACCTTGACCAGGATGTCAAGCTGAGCCGTCCCCCTCTCATCTAGAGAAGCCACAGTCTGACTGACCAGTGAGCAGAAGTTATGGCACAGCTCCAGGATCTCATTCAGACAGTGGAACACCTGAGGACAGGAGCATTCAGACACTCTCCGTCAGAAATAAGGATGAATTTTAGCAGCAAGGTAAAATCCAGCATGATGTGGCTTAGGAATTTATACCGGCTTGAGGAGGATGAAGGACTGGGCGAGCAGGTTACTGAGGAAATGGTCGTGGGCCAGTCTGATGCTCTCAAAGTCTCTGGTGGAGTTGATCAGCTGAAGCAGCTGAGAGAACTGAGACTCCAGGACGTCCACCTGAAGACAAACAGCAGGAAAACAACCGAGTGAAAACGCCTCAGCCGAGGGCGTAGGTATGGTCTCAGCATTGGTAAGGACACAACAACCACGCCACCCCTTCAAAACAAAGAGATTGACTTTTTAATGCTGACAGTGTTTAACATAAGATCTGAATTTACATTCAGGAATTCCCATATGCAAATGTAATATATGTACATGTGTTGAATTTCCATATATGAAATATATGTACATGTGAAGTAAAATCATATGCATTTAAAGTATAGCCTATATATGTAAAAATTACATATGAAACCGGTTAGAAATTGGAACAATATCATATATTGACATATATGTCTATCTTATAGAAACATGTATTTTAGTATGTGTAAATGTCTATTTGTCTGATGTCTGTTAGACTGTAGGAGGAAGCTGGAGAACGCAGAGAACCCACACTAGCACAGGGAGAACGTGAACTCCACAGAGAAAGGCCCAGGGTTCGAACCCACAACCTTTTCACTGTGAGGTGACACTTCTAACCACTGGACTGCTGAGCCGCCCCATAAATAAATCATCGTGTAGTAAAGCATAAAAACATAGTACAGTAAGTCATAAAAGATCATTGCATAGCAAGACATGCACATTAGGCCTTACTGTACTGTGAAGATTTTATGACTTACTACACTCATGTATATCATCGTATAGTAAGGCATAAAAAACCTGATGTGCATGTGTTTGGACTGTGAAATGAAGCGGGAGTCCTCTGAGAGAACCCGCGCTGGCACAGGGAGAACATGCAAACTCCACACAGAAAGGCCCCAGGCCCAGGGGTTCAAACCCAGAACCTTCTCACTCACAGATTTGTAAATCGAGAGTACGGATTTGCACACGGCTCTTTTCTTTTTTTCCCCCATCAGATGATCCAATGGGGTCTCAGTGTGTTTTTCATTTGGCAACAAAGGAGTCTTTGTGGATTCTGGAAATCTCTTTAAATCTGCTGTAAATGTTGTTAAATGACATTCAACTCGAATGTAATAAAAATGATATGAGGCCACAACTGGAGGCAGGGCTGCTCTTTAAAACCGAGTGTACACATGGTTTAAAGCCAGTAAGAGAAAACACAGTCTTACTTGTGTTGAGGGAAATGTGCGTTTGTACACATCATTTATACACCTGGCCCCTCCCTCTGTTGTTACCTGTAAGTAGTACTGCAGGTTGTCGATCAAGAACGCCATGTGGTTGCGTAGTCTCCACTTAACAGCATCTGTCTGGCTGGACTTGAGGTGTTTCCTCTGCATCTGTAGAGCCCAGCAGTGCTGCAGCTGCGACTGCACCCGCCGCACGCTCAGCAGGTACCTGAACACCACGTTGTACCTGACCACACAGAGGAGAGGGCGCTCACCAGCTGTTCTCAGGATAACCAGACAAATGAATTAAAGCTACAATAGGAAACCAAATGGAAACACACTTCTCCAAGACAGCAGGGGTGAAGAGGATGTGCAGCGGCCACTGGACCTTGTAGGTGAGGCCGAGAGCCGCCCAGCCTGTGGGAGGGATCTCACGAGGGGAGGTGTCCTGTGGGGGCGTGGCTCCGTCTCTGGGGCCTGACCCCTCTGAAAAAAAACAGCTGTAATCATCAACTGCTCTTGGATGCTAATTGAATCAGTCATTATTGACAGAGATAACGAGAATTAGTTCTCAGAATCGATACTGTGCCTCACTGAACAACAACACGAGTCAGATAATAATCTTCCAGTGTGTGTAAAGGTTCTGGTTTGGCTGTAATGATTGGTGACTGATCTGAAGCATTTGTTTTAATATGAAAAGATCTCGTGCACAGAAGCTGCAACATTATGTCAGAAAACTGGGATAAAATAATGATTCTTTCAATTTTCAATTAAACCATTGATTATATTTACAACTTAAATTATTGTCAAAAAGAAAGTAGTGAAAAATGAGCATCATAGTCTCTCAGAGCTGAAGGTGATGGACATCAGTCCCAAAACACAAAGATATTTGAAATAATAATTACAGAAGAGAGATAAGAGGCAAGTTGTCACATATCAAAAGCTTGAATTGGACAATATCCTTCTTGATGAACAACTTGATCATTATCGAAACAGTTGGAGATTGATTTTGCTGGCAGGTTAGTAAAAGGCTGAGTGCTGTTCTCAGTTCGATGATGAAACCACTGGATGGCGCTAAACACCAAACAAAAGATTACAGGCTTCCTGCTTTATATTCACTTCTGTTAACACGTCATCACCTGGAAGCTTCCCTCCCTCACTCTCCTAAATAAGCTTCATATCATACACACACGAGCTTCGTTCAGCTGCACACCTTTGTTGTCTTTGCCCTGGTAGTCCACAGTGAGGTGCAGCAGAGGCAGGAGGTTGTCGTCGTCCAGTAGCACCTTATGAGCTGCCTGCTGAAACGCCACATTTACATCTGTGGAACAGAAATCACATGACATTAAAACGCATTTGCTTATTTTTATTTTCATTTGTATTTCCAAGTGTTCCCACGGCTAGTTGATGAGTCCCGATTGAAATACACTTTGTCCCTGGTGAGATGTTTTTGATTTGTGTCATATTTGCTCCATCAATTGAAAAAAAAAAAAAGAACATCTTTATTCTATGGCACATGTTGATTGTTTGTTGGTTAATTCAACAGCTGAATGAATAATCAGTATACACTGTGCATTCTCTGCCATGAGCAGGAACCAGTTTAGTTATTGTTCATTTATTTATTTTTAAAACGCAGTCACACCCCATGTTGAGCAGTTAGCGGGCACGGCTCAACAAGGCAAGAGAATAACTAAAGAACTAACTAACTGTGCTGAGCCGTAGTTAAATGCTATCTGACAAACCTTCACTTATTCTTCTTTTCTAAATAGATCCAAACAACTTTTTAAATCTCTACTTTTTACTTCTGAGATAAAAACATGACACTGCTACTTCTAAGTACTTAGGGGTTAACTGCTTCCTTTTTGCCATGGCGACCATGAGAGCGAACATTAATTACATTATTTTTATGTTTCCCATTATGTAGCATGGTGTTAAGACTAAGGCAACAACTAAACAACTAAACATGCTTTATGTGCAAAGTAACTACTGAAGATAAAACATTTGACACATCGTAATCAAACATATGAACATTTACCGTGCTCAGTGACGGCTGTTGGGGGCGTCTTCAGCATGTGCTGGGCAAGGTCAATAAAAACCTGGTAGAGCTCCCCACGACCCAGCAAGTAGAAATCTTTAATGATCTGGGTGGGAAAAACACAAACGTCAACAACACTGTTCATTTTGCTCTGATTCCCGATCCAGAATTAAGTGTGATGAGCACAAACCTTGAGCTGTTCAAGCAGATCTGACTCCTCCACCATCAAAGTCCAGAGATGCTGCAAGTCATTCAGATTGTGAGATTTTAATTTTGTCACATCGAGTGTGGTAGGTCACACGGCATTCAGTTGAAAGAAGAAAATTATGCAGTACCACACCAGCTCACCTCCGCCACTGTGCTCCTGATGCGATCGATGAGGTTTTCAAAATCCACCAGGCTGAAAAGAGGCTGCTGTTTGAGTTTGTGCAGCTCAGCAGCAAATATGTCCTCCTGATGCTTCAGTATGGAGCCTGAAATAGACAAAACAATAATGTGTGGTATTGTTTTAGTGACAAAAAGAAATTATGCTTCAACAAGATTTTGGCTTAGATTTATAGTACAATACCAGCTCGAGATGGGCTGTGGTTGTGGTTTTCAAACATCTGGACAGACTCTCCCACAAAAAGGATCTTCTCAGCAACACGGATGGGAATGTAAGAAGGCAACATCTCTGTTCGCAGGGAGAACTGCTGCAGAGATGGAGCCAGCATGTTCTCCTCCTCAATCAGCCTCTGCACAACAACACAGACGGACATAATCAAGCCTCTGATTAAAAATGTGCGCTGAGCTCTTCTCCAGTGTTGGATATGGACCTGTGTCTCTGACTGTGCTTCTCACCAGGTCCTGTAGTTCTCTGAGCTGTTTCCCGCTCAGGCCTCCCAGTCCCAGGTCCTCCTCCTCCTCCTCCTGGTTGGCAGCAGCTCCTCCAGCGCTGGGCCCCTGTTTCACGAAAAACTCCTCGCTTTGGTCCAGCAGCAACCCGTGCAACATCCAAGCTGCCAGCTGCTTGTACATCACACCGTGGCACACTGCAAGAATCCTGCAGAATTGTTTTGGTATCTTAGTGTGACACAGTTAGCATTAATAAGGTGATATGGCAATACAATACACATTGCAGCTCAAGCATAGCCATAAAATAGTAAAGTAGTTTTTATAAGGGCAGGAATCAATATTACACTACATTTAAGTTCCTTCCTCCACTCATTTGGAACCACCCACAGTTTGGAGTTCTCACTAAAAATTATTAAGCTTAGCATTAAAGTAACAGTACTGTGGACTGTCACTCATGACTTGTATGTCGTATGTGTCATCAGAACTGACACCAGAGTGGAAACTAGTGAGTGTGAGGGTCCATCATTCTCCTTCCTCTTCTTCTGTTGTTGTTTAACTACAGGCTAAACTAGTTTAAAGTTGCTAAAGTATCTATTGTTCAGATATTTTCAAAAGGTTTTTCAAGCCCATATTGCAAAAATTGAAAATTAAATAGATAAAACCACACAAAAATGATAAATATACAATTTCTACAAGGCTGTACTTATCAGTTACAGGTATTAAGTTATATTTCTATTTAACATTAATATAGTAGTCCAGCCTATTTCTGGACAGATGTAGCCTATGAAACATTTAACATTGAGACTGATTTCCAGACTTCATTGCTCAAGTGTCTTATTTCAACATTGTTTGGCGTTATATTATATTAGTTGTTATAGGGTAGCCAAAAAACCAACCCATGTTAAATGACAAACGATAAAAATCAATTAGCCATTATTTAAAATCCGCCATCAAAACATCTAGTAAAACAAGGTTATTTGATGCCCCTGCATCAGTAAAAACACAAGAGAACACAACTCTTATAGTCCAAATGGAGCTGACTCACTTCTCTAAGGCCATGCGTACAGGAGGAAGACCCCCACAGCTGTGCTTGTACACCGTCTCCAGGATCTGACAGCCATGGATCTAAAGCAGCACACACAATACAGAGAGCACACACCTGTCAGGTCTCTTACCCAGCTGTTATTCTAGATAAGTAGATCTAGTTTTCTAGTCATGGCCTCCAAGGCACTCCCTCAGTGCAACCCCAGCTTTTATGTTGTGTTTCAGTCAGTGTCTTTGTTCATTTAGTTTGCATAAAATACATGAACGAGTTACAATACAAGCTTGTTGAGCAAATTTGACCAAATTTCCACAAAATCTGTGTGTATTTCCATCAACTATGACAAGATGACATAATTAATTGAGCACCAGGAACAAGCCCATTATGGCATGTCACTGCTGATTCCCACCTAGGAAAGAACTTGTGTTTTGTCTTATCTTTTTATGAATTTCATTGATTCATGTGTATCCTGTTGTGTTTTTAAATCAGCTGCTCTGGTGAACATGCATTCTGGAGGCTTTCTGGAGGGGTGGAGCCCTGGAACAATGAATGGCAGCATGACATGAATGCTTCATCTACGGTAGAAAAAGCAAAAGGAGGTCTTATCTGAAAAGTCTGTTTCTAACAGCCTTTACGGCATTCCTGTCTTTTTTAATATGCCAACATTTCAAATTTTTTTTTATGATGCTTCTGCTTTTTTTCTGGCATTTCTACTCAGTTTTGGTGGATGGAATTGTGCACAATTTCACCACAAGACACTTGGAAAAAAACACCTCTGTTAATTTAAGTAATCTGGGAGGTTCAAGTGGAATTACTGGGCTAACTTGTGGTTGTATGAATTTATCTGATGAAATATTTTCCCAATCGTGTGAAAACTTTACACCACCCTTAATTTGCATTTCCTTACCTTCTGTGATTTTATAGTTTCTACCACCACCATCACTGAGGGAAACAACAACTGGAACTTGAGAGAAAAAATAAGGTGTTAAGACATTTAAGTAAAAGACTTTCAACTGAGACTAGAAATATCATCTCCTTAGGCATTTAAATAATGCTTCACCTGGTCAAGCTTATAATTCACATGGGATATTGTCAGATGTGGATCTCCAAGGAACTGAAACATATACACAAGTTGAATGAGCATCCTCTCACATGCTTCACCATTCATTATTAATGGCTGTGTCATCAGTTTACCTCTTGTTCAAGGTCCAGCAGGGTCTGTCTGTACGGCTGCAGCATAGAGTCCAGCCCTGTGCAGAAAGCCCGCAAGTAAATTCCATGAAGTCCAGTCTGGTTGGGCTGGTTTGTGTGATGTTCCTACACAACAACGACAACATTATGTGAATTTTTCATTTTATGCATTGGACTAAACAACATTCCTAAACAAAGCCACATGCTTGAAACTAATTGAAAGAGAAATCAAAGGAAGGTTAATGATGTGTTCAGTTTTTCTTGGAAATTTGCTTTATGGAGAAGAATAAAGTGAGTAAGATGTGTTTGTATTATTACCAGAGAAACCCTGTCTTAGATAAGATAAGATAACTTACTGCATTTCAGATGCAGTCAAATACCAACAGTAAAAATGAAACTGAACTGATACAATGAATTAAGCTTACAGTTTACATCTTAAATGTGTAAAAGTGTTATCATGTAGGCCTGGGACTCACTTGTTGATGCACATGGCCAGTGTGTTGTTCTATGAACTCTGTAAAGCGTATGTAATCTGAGCCCAGTTTACAGATCCGGTTGAGGACACTGGTCTCACTGGGGTGAAGGAAAGGCAGGTCCTGGGACACCTGCGGGTGAAACAACATGGTTCATGTTCGAAAAGAGACACGGTGTGCTTCTAATACACAAAGGTTATTGTGATGCAAAGAATACTAGAAACACCTGCTCTCATGAATGCAAGCACTACAAACTGCAGCCTCCATAATTAAATTAGACTGCATTAGTTTTAGCAAGGTGTACCTACTAGAATTAAAGTATATAGTATTTAAAGTAAGTATTCCCTCTCTAACCTTAACTATAATACAAAGACAATATTATCACTTCAACATGACAGGCCTGTTAAAAAGATAAATATTAAAGAACATAAATTACCGTTAGCATGCTATGTTAAATCATAGCGAGTTAATTCAGAAACGTAGCTGTATCACAGTTTTCAGTATTACCTGCAAACCAGTGCGTTTGTTCCATGTGAAAATGGTCCCCGGGTATCCGCTTAACGCTAGCAACAGCTCATGAATCATTTTAATTCAGCTTGAATTGATTAAAAAAAATGGGAAAATACAATATCTCATTCAGACACCAAAACAAACTGCCGCCTGAGCTGTCGCGGGCTAGAGACGTCACGATCCAAAGCATCACGGGATATATGCGAGTGTTGGTGGCTAGCACTCACCACCGGTTCGTGCTTTCCTCCCTTATAGTTTGCTTCGATTTTGAACTGTCGCAAAACCAAAAGCGGCTATTATTATATTTTATTCGGATTCGTGGCGTTAAGCGACGATAGCAACGGAACCGTTGTTGCTTTAAGGCTTAAACGAATCTTAAGCGAGAGTTAGCATGGAAGTGTTTAGCTAGCGCGGCGCTTCTGGGAAATGTAGTTTCTTGCACAAAAAGTAATTCCTGCGTCATCAATCGGTCATGTAACTAGCTAGGAACACCTCGCAACAGAGAAAGCTTGGTATGTTTCAAGATAAAATGGTGACTTCATGTAGACTGTTACTCACATTATTATTACGATTAACAGCAAGTTGTAATTATTAGCGTGGCCTCTGGTTGAGCTAACGTTCCTCGGCTAGCCGTTTGTTAGTTAGTTGCTAAAGTCAGTTTCTCTCTGGAAAACATTTACTTGTTAGCTTAACTATGCTACAACCAGGCAACAAAACACAGCTGTACGCAGTCTAACGCGCTGAGTAGTAGGTTCACATCTACATCAAGTCTTTTGCAGACGTGTTAGGCTTAATTAGTCTGATTCATGCTAGCTGTACTCACTTGAATGCTACACAAATAAACGATCGAGTGTGGGGTTTCAATGCTTCTTATATCCACTGTTTGTTATTGCAGGGATGGCGGGGGAGAGGAGCGGAGAGGAAATAGTTTCAGAGTACCTGGGCCAGAACCCGCAGCTGGCCCAGTGGGTCGAAACTCTCAGGAGCTACTGTGAGAGCAACAAACAGTGGTTCGCTCGGAGGGAGTTTATCTTGAGAAACATGGAGGCTTTCCCCACAGTGGAGCCTGGAGTCCCCAGCAGCAGTCTTGACAGGCTGCTCTCTCTGTCCATGGTCTGGGCAAATCACGTTTTCCTCGGCTGCAGGTAAGACACACAGACACAGCAGAACTTCTGAAATCGCAGATTGAGGCCCTGGGGTGAGGAGTTACTTGTCTTTGTTATCTTCCCCTCTCAGTTATCCACAGCCTGTAATGGACAAGATCAAGGATATGGGTGAGGGGATAGTTGTCCAAGACCCTCCAGTTCACAAAACGACAAAAGATGGAGCCATGGCCAAAGGAAAGCGGAGTGCCACAACTGGTAATGTAGTGCACATTTTCAATAAAGCAGACTTGTATGGTACAGTGTACGATGTGGCTGAAATCTTTTTAAGTTAACCAGAAACAGTTCATGTGGACACAGTATGAAAAACTAATAACAACTGGGTGTTTATATTGATACACAATGTTCACACTACTAATATTTTAATGTTTTAGTTTGTATTGTGATATTTGGTTTTGTTGTGTATCCCACATTTGATGTTTTTATAATATTAAACAAATCACATACAAATGATCTATCTTGAGCACAACAACCTGCAGTACATAGTAATAATATTACTTACTTATTGGAAGCTGCAATTTGCTTCTTATGTTGTTTATTGAACACGCATGTGACAATTTATAATTTGCCATACATATGATCTTTTTGCCATTCCACTTTAGGAAATGTAATGAGTCCAATGAAAAGCTGTCCCAAAGTAAAAACACATCTGTGATGTTTTTCTGGTTAACTTGAATAGCCTTTATAAGAATTATCACTGCTTACAAGCTATGAATACATAAGATGGCAGGAAAGACTCTGTGCACTCCCACAAACTTTCTATAGCCTGTTATGGACCACTGACATGTTTCAGTTATATTTTCTATTACAGCAGGATGTCAACGTAATTACCTAGATGCAAGTTTTTGTTCTTTAGACACCCACACATGAAGTCTGTTTCCTCATTAAATACTGTTTCTTTGTGCAATCAACACTGTCGTGACTGTTGTGTCATCATTTGCAGAAGGCGATGCTGACAGCTGTGTGAAAAGAGCCAAATGTGGGTCTAATGAGCCTGACAGTCGACCTCCTGGCAGGACAGCCACACGGTCAGTGAGTCAGAAAGCAGGACCTCCTCCACAAGCTCCAGCAGAGCACCAGCCCTTCTTCAACCGCCTCTACAAGGCTGTGGCATGGAAGTTGGTCTCGGCAGGGGGCTTCGGTCCCAACCTGGACCATTTTGAAATACTTCGTAGCTGTGTAGAGTCATGTAAACAGACCCTGACCTCCGTGTTTGTGCCACTGAAAGACATCACAGGCCTCCCTGCAGGTCGCACACAGAAGGAAGGCCATGTGTGTGAAATTCGCTGTCAGACTGTCTACATGGGCACAGGATATGGGCGGGATGAGGCTGCTGCCAGAGCCATGGCTTCCAAAGAAGCCTTAAAAGTCTTTCAGGGGCGAAAAGTGACAGTAAAGATCTGTAGACGGAGATACAAAGGGAAAGATGTGGAGGATTTGATGTTGTTGGACGAGCAGCCTCGGAGTCAGGGCTTTCCTCCTGCGCTCAGCTACCCTTTTCTGGACGAGCAGCTGGAGGATGGTTCTTCGTAGAGAAGACAGACTGTGACATTTGCCCTGCTGTGATCCCAGTCGGAGCATCGACAAGTGGCATTTACTGAATGGAGCTACTGAAGGAATTCATAACTGTGTCAGGACCAAACTGTTATGCAGCTGAACATCAACTAGACTTGAGAATCATTAAGTACCTAGACCATTAACTATCATGACACATTTCCCACATTACTTTAGTGTCATAACACAGGTGATACGTTATTTGACAAAAATCTGTGATAAATCACCAAAACAGGAAAACAAAGTCCTTAAATCTGCAAAAAAACAAGAATCTTATACGGTATTGACTACATATTCCACCTCTTTCAGTTTTACAAAGTTTTATAGACAACAGTGTAACAGTTCGTGGAATTAGAGCATGTGCCATCATTTAAAAGTCAAACAGCCATAAACTGGTAAAAAAGCTCAACTGTCAGAGGGCGAAACAGTTTAAGAGTTAAGATAAAGGCAGCTTAAAATGCCACCTTAATAAATTAGAACATTTTACTTATGTGATTATTTGTCCCAATTTTTTTATTTTTTATACTCCAAACCTCACTTTGTTGCATTTTTGGTTTGTTTAGATTACCACTATTCACTTACAAGGGAAACAAAAGTCACATGAACAAACTAATTACTTGTCTTTTACAGTTTTGATCACCTGCCGTTCTGCCATGGTACAGATTTTGGCAGCAGGATGCAGTCAAAACTAATACAGTCACTGTAACTTTTCCTGAACATGATGGACTTGTCTGTTATGTGCATACCAGTTGAGAATACAAACATACCTGAATATTAAGTATCAAACCAAACTTTATTTTGATACTTTAGTTTCTGTAACTATAAGTGACTGTTGGAATGTCAGATGTCAATATTTTTTTAATATTTGTTCCCATTAACCTAGTCAATTTTAGGGTTGTCTCTTGAGACAGGTTGGAGTTGCATTCCCTAATGACCCGCACTTTAATTGTGTTAACACAGGACTGGGCCTTGCTTGTCTTTTTTAAGCCAGAGAAATGGTGGTGATCCAAGTTGTTTAATACGAGCTCCAGTCAGTCCAGTTCTTGATTAAAACTAGGAGTTCAGTCGTAATCTTCTGAACAGTGATTTAACAAATAACCACACACAGAGTTTCTGCAGTCAGAGTAATGCAAAGTTTTGATGGTTTGAGTTTCATTTCACTGCATATGTGCAGAGTTTTCAGCTTTTGTGTTCTTTTCAATGACTTGACCAGCTACAGTACCCATCATACTGTACACAGAAGTACTAACGGCTATTGCTTTTATTTTAATTTAAAATAATTATTAGTTGACTGATTAAAAAACCAAAACAGCGAGACCCACACTATGTTGAAAATATTGGGGTGTCATAATTAAGAATATTCATTTGAACACAGTTAAATCCAGTGTGTACAGTTATGATGTGTTTGGGGGTAAAGTGCTGCTGTGATGTGATTTTTGTTTCTTGATTTCCAGTCCAGTTGAAGTTGAACAGGTTTGCATTGAAGTGTGAGTATCTACACTGTTCTATGTTACTGTGCGTTTACACCAGTGGTCCTGTTTCTATATATTTTTTAAATAAACATAATTTAAGCAAGTCACGTTTATTTGGTTTTCTTCTGCAGAGAACAGCACCAAGCATTATCATGACTGCACAGTTATTCAAAGAACATTTAATAAAAATAAACCAAACAAGATTTTAAACAATTATATAACAGCAAACAACTATCTCCTGTGTAAACATATAGTGGCTTCCTGAGCAGAGAATGAAGTCACACCCCTGCTGAATGTGTTGTGATCTGAGTTTTCTGTTCTTTGTTTTGGTATCAGGTCTCAAAAGATCCGTCTGCAGCCTCCAATATTCAGTTACACCTATTTCACATTACATCGGGCGCGTGCATGTTAGTGCGTGTAAGAGTCCCTCCCTATTAAACCATTGGCCCTTCCCACGTTTATAAACACTCAGGCACCGCCCACAGGTAAGATGGCGGTAAACTACTACTGTTCAGGTAGAAGCTACCTACCAGAAGTTCCTCCACTGAAGAAACCATGTTTTAATCGTAAAAGGCCTAATAAAGGCTAATAAAGAAAGATATAAGACCAGAGAGCAGGCAGACTGACCATGGGCACTACCAGCTCAAATCTTGATTGGCCACTGGACCATCAAACAATCCATAAAGTTTTTAAAGTTTTTACCGGCTCAGTGTTATAACGCTGAATTTCTTTCCCAGTTCAACTGTGGCGCCAATTCTGGACTATAACAGCCCCAGGAGCCGCTGAAAGAACCGGCCTCTCTTCTCCTCCACGTGTAAGTAACTTGATGGCTACATGATGCTACATGTCTGTTTTCATTAGTGACCGCTACATGGCAACGTTAGCTAACTTACTGTTTTCCGATGCTATGAATGTGTTTTGGCAAATGTCGCTATCGCTAGTTAGCTAACTGTCAGTGTTGCTGTGGAGCATATCACAGCAATGCTAGCGTCAGCTGATTGTTTTTGTTGGCTCTCGTGTACACGGGGTAACTTTATTCACTTCTTGCTGTGAGTTTGACGGTCGCTTTTACCGCGGCACGAGGATGTTACGAAACACCTTGCTGACTGGGGACGTGAGGTTGTTTTGGTCTGAAATGCTGGTGGTTCAATGCGACATCTAGTGGGAGTGACGGTCGCTTACAGAGCATTTAATCTCATTTCACTTGGAGGATTTCTGACAACTGCAAAACATAATTCTTGGAGTTTTATATGTTGAATTATGTCACATACTGCCTCTCATTAGTGATGATTGGCAAGTTTAGACACCAGTGAATAGGATGACTCAGTTCCTTATTAGAGATGGTTAAATAGATGTTAGCGGTGCCGGATCAAATAATTATAAACTCTAAGTGATTTGAGTGACATTCATGCTTGACCTCCCCCCACGGAAGAAACTAAGCTATTGTTTATATCAACAGGACGCCTTCGGCCTCATCAACACAGTTGACCCGGCTGTTTATTCACATGGCTGCACTGTGATTCTTCAGTAGACAACGTGAACACGAGCACTGCTATGATCCGGAAACATGGCTAATGCTTAAAATAAGCTATTTCCTACTCTTTGGTGACAGGTGGACATGTCACGTTTGTGTATGCAAGAGGAGCTTATGGTTATGTCAGTGTCTTCCTGTAAAAACCTTATATTATTGGGGATTGTACAAATCAGGGTTTGTTTTGATCAAACTAATAATAAGGACACTTACAACACTTTAAAGCACCAACTTTCAGAACTACTTACTTACAGCCAAGTGTAAAAGTCACATTTAAGAGCAACTCTCAAGTGATCGCATGTATGATCGGGGAAAGAATAATAATATAATACTATAATATAATAATATATTATAGAATAATAATAATCAGATATAGACAGACCAAACATCTGCTATATTGTACATGCTTTTCAATGACAGAATGTACAAACTGCCAATGTGTTCGTCTGCGAGTGTTGTAGAAGAGGGCAGGTAGCTTGTTAAATGGCTATAAAATAACGAGAGCACAGATGTGTCAGGGATGATTGAATGCTACAGACATGACCAGACTTGTGGTGTTGTATATTGTGGCTTTTTTTGTTATTCTTTAACTCAAAAGACATCAACGTTCACCAGATGATTCATTATTTTTTTCAATTCATAGACGGCCTTATACAGAAAATTCCACAACAGGAGGTAGAGCAATAGTTTTTATTCTTGTGTGAGGAAAAGAGAAGGTTTTTTACGTCCAAAATTTAGCTTTTAGCAGTTTGATAAATATGATCAAACCATGCTCCAACTAAAGCTTCCCAGTCTGTATTTCACCCTTATAGAATGTGTATTTTCAATTTCTAAACAGACAACAGTATCTCGTCATGGAGGTCACATTTTGGAAATATACTTTATTGTTTTATACAGTTGGTCTCAGGCTTCACCACTAGAGGGCAGCGGTGCTTATTATGTGATTCTGAACTTTACAGTGGGACTCCCTGTCATCTGTCTCTTCATGTGATCCCAGTCTGACTCCATGATGTTGAGATCAGGGCTCTGTGGGGGGCAGACCATCTGCTGCAGGGGTCCTTGTTCTTCTTGTCTCTGAAGATGGTTCTTTATAACTCTTGCTGTTTGTTTGGGCTTGTTGTTCTGCTGCAGAATTAATTTGGGACCAATCAGACGCCTCCCTGATGGGTTTGTGTGCTGGATAAGAATCTAAACATCTAAAGTGCCTCAAACTTCTGCATAGTATGATGTAACTACAACAGGAATATTCTGTTTGTAATAAGATGTGAAACTTAATATTTCCACTGAAATATGAATCCATCTCCATGTAAACTGACCTAAGGTCTTTTAAGTCCCAAAACAAAGAGACATTAGAGCACCTAACAACCCAGACATGCTGCTATAAAGTATCACATACTAAAACAATAAAGTGCAGTGTAACATAAAGTACAGTATCTCAAGCTACCCTCAAGAACTACATAAAGTACCACAACCTATTGTACTGTATGAGTGTTGTACCATACAATTGCATACCACAAACTGAATATTACAAACTTAATCTACCCTGATTCTTTGTGGTGTACTTACTTGTTGGTAGTCTGTGATAGTCTGTGGTATTTTGGAGTAGCATGTGATGTGTTATGCTACTTTTTTGTGGAACTTTGTGCTTGTGGTACTTTTATGTACATTCGTTGGCATTTTTTTTGGTACAATGCAGTACACTTTGTCAAAGGCTTTGTTTTGCTTTGTGATATTTTTTGGTAGATTATAGTACTTTGCAGGAGCCTGTGAGCCACTTTGAGGCACTTTGTGTTATTATGGTACTTTGTAGCACATTTTGTTGTAGTTTTTGTACATTATGTTACNGGCAGGAGCCTGTGATGTGTATTGGTCAGCTTAATGAAACTTTGCTTTATGGAACATTTTTAGTAGTTTGTGGTTGTGCTACTTTTTTTTTGCAACACTTTGAGGCACTTTGTGTTATTATGGTACTTTGTAGCACATTTTGTTGTAGTTTTTGTACATTATGTTACAACAGTAGCGTGTGATGAGTCTTAGTGAGCTTAAGAGAATTTATTTATTTTGGTTCTTTGTAGAACCTTTTATTGCAGTTTGTACAGATTGTGCCACTTTTTGATTATGGTGTGTGGTTTGTTTTTGCTGCACCTTTTTGTAACTTTGTGGCCCTTGTTACTTTGGTATGTCTGTGAAGTATGTGTTATTATTGGTACTTTTTAGTACACATTGTGATTCTTTGTAATCCCTCATTCACGACCTTGTGTTTTCTTCTGGTAGTTTCTTGTGATTTTGGGCACATTGTAGTGCTCAGTGTCGGTAGTAATTACTGCTTTTTGTGATACCTTTAAGTTTATTTTGGTATTTTGTTGTACTTATATGCTTTGTGATAGTAAATGATTCTTTTTGAAATCCTATATTGTAATTTGTGGTGTTTTAAAGGTGCATTATGGTACCTTGCATGTGATTTGTTTTAGTAACACTAGAGACTGGACTGTCCTGTCTTTGATTTAATATTATATTTTTCATTATATCTTCCATTTATTGGAGAGTAACAAGAAGAGGAATAGTGGTAGTAACGGGTAGAGAGAGGGGTATGACATTCAGCAACATTGATTTATTTATTTGGATCATTCATGATGAGTGATAATAACAGTCATGGCCATCACATTACATGAGGTTTGTACTGTATATGCAGACACACAACAAGAGGTGTGTGAGCATGTGCACATATTATAGTTCACACCTTTATAAATCAATTTAAATGCCTCAAGCATTGTCTGGTGTTGATATATTGTGTGTGGTTTACACCCAACAACGTCATTCTCAGAGAGTAATCTCTATTTCAGACTGTATCATTTGTCACCTGCTCTTGTGTCTCCATCCATCACATGCTCAATCATCCCATGCCTCTTCCTCTTTTTCAGTTTCTCTGTGTTGTCCATCACTATCCCTGTTTTTCATTCTGTAGTTCACTGTCAAATTATCGCACACAAACAATCTCTTCTCTCAATCGGCAATTGCTGCAGGTTTGAACTGTCTCAATGTGTGAAAAAAAGCCCTTATCCACGCATGCAATCTCTATCGGCATTGGAGGTAATTCCCCCGAGGAATCAATAACAAATCCTCGCTGTCTGGAGAAAGTAATACTGTTCAGGAATAAGATAAACAGTCTTATTGTCAGTATAACCGCCATGAATGTTTCTAGTTGTTCAATGGTTTCTGTAAGTGTTTCATAGAGGAAAGATGGTGAGATTTTCTCAATCTATGGATGGCTGAATATAAAACAAGCAAACATGACCAATATTAAAGTTAAGTTTTCATCAACAGCAAAACAATCTAAAGCAATGCTAGTAGTAGTGCTACTGGATGAGTGTTTTTTTTTTTTTTTTTTTTTTTTTTTTGGTCGAAATAAGATTTTACGCTGTGTGCACAAGCTAATCTCTGGTGTTGAGAGTGTATCTAGTGGGAGCAAGTGAGTACAAGTTTCATTCCTGACAGCTTCCTAGCACTTATTATACTTATATAAAATAGTCACCAATAACTCTCAGGTCACTTAAGGTAATAAAACTTTATTACTTCATTTTCTCCCATTTTGAGGAGGCTGTGTGCATCTTATGCAGGCAAGCTGAATGATAGAGATGTATGTGTTCTTAATTAATCTTAAATCTATGCACACAACATATGAATGTTTTTCAAAAAAGATAAATAACTTATTAAAATAGATTATGAAAAATAAAAATGCATACAAAATTACACCTAAAATGACGAAACAAAAACAAACATTAACATAAATCAACATGTTGGACATATTAAGAATTTGACCTCATGATGGTGCCAGATGAAAAGTCATTAGAGTCATTATTCCTCTTCTTGAACATGCCCAGGAAAATCCATGCTAATCTGTTGATGAGATTTAGATATTTCCTGTTTAGAGGGGCAACAAAACAAATAGGACTCATTCTCCAGCAGCCAGGAATGACCTGTGTTTGGGGAGATATTTCACTCTGGATCAATATGTTAGACTGGTGAATAAATGCACCAGCTGATATTGTCATGTGGCGCGCTGATACAGTGGTTAGCAGTGTCACCTCACAACGAGAAGGTTCTAGGTTCGAACCCTGGGGCCTTTCTGTGGGGAGTTTGCGTGTTCTCCAGGTACACCGGCTTCCCCCCACAGTCCAAGTCCAAAGCCATGCACATTAGGTTAAATGGCAGGTCTAAGGTGCCCATAGGTGTGAATGTGTTGTGTGTCTCTATATGTCAGGTAAATATTAAATATATAGAATTATTTTCCAGGAAATAACAGGACAAACAGGAAGAGGTGTCTGGTTATTTTGATCAACAGCACAAACTGCAGTCCTTCTTTAGCTCCATGTGTACTTCCTTAATGATAACACGCACATCCCGAGTGTACACACACACACAGCCAAGCGAAAACGGACTAAGTAAACATTTTGTACTTGTCTCCACTGTATTATTGATGACTGCTGACAGAGGAAGGTTGGATAAGAGATAAGCACAGTGATGTGGAATACGACGATGCTGCCCAAGCTGCAAAAAAACAGAGGGCCTGAAAAATCAAGTCAACTGAAACATCAGTGAGGAGTCAAGGAAAACATCAGGTAACTTAAGACAATAATTTCAATCACCAAATCTCAAAAGGGACTTTAGTGTCAGTTGTCCATGTGCAGCGTGCAAATTATACAATGATGATCCCGGGGTCAAGTTTTTCTCTGGGGTGAAAGGGAACCCAGCACAGTGCAGGCGCATGCTTCAGTGAACTGTCCTTACACTATTATGCTTGTTTAACTAAAGCTGTCAAATAAATGTAGTGGAGTAGAAAGTTCAATATTTCCCTCTGAAATGTAGTGGAGTGGAAGTATAAAGTAGCATGAAATATGAAATTCTCAAGTACAAGTACCTCAAAATAGTACTGAAGAACAGTACTTAGAGTAGATGTACTTAATTACTTTCCACCACTAATACAATAACTTAGCCCCCAGCACACATGCATTTTAATATTGTTCAATTCCCCAACCAGCAGCCTATTATAAAAGGTAAAAGACTAAACCACCTTAAACACACAAAAGACTATTAAAATAAAATAATAAACTCTATATTGACGTCAAAATGTATCCAGCAACTAATCCTCCATTGTTTCACTGCTCATGAATGAGCACCAGTGTTTGCTAAAAGTAGATAATATTTTACATTTTATGTTGGTAATGAAATGACAAACCAGCACTGGAAATGAGAGGGTGCGCTATCAGCTAGCCTAGCTGACATCAGTTAGCTAAACTGCAACTTAATGCTAAAGTTAGAAACTAGCTAACATTAGCTAACTCTGAAGGTATGAAAGTAACAAGCTCGATAGTTAGCTAATGCTACTTACATTTACCTTCAGTGTCAGGGAGACTTGAGGATGTTAGCCACTGACGTGAGTGAGACAGGCCTTTAGCTAATGTCAATGTGGTATATGGTACATGGGAAATATATTGTTATATTTACAATTACAGGTATAAAAGATAGATAAATGATTCAACCCCCCCTGAGCTGTTGTCCCCCCCCCCCTTTAATTAAGTATAAGTAGCAATACTAAATTTTAAAAATACTCCATTATGAATCAAAGCCCTGGATTCAAAATGTAACGTATATAAACGTAAGTAAAAGCAATAAATATTAGCAGCAGAACATACAACCATCAAGAATAAAGGACTCATTATGCAAAACAGCCCCTCTCAGTTTTTATTATTAACAGTGACAAGAAAAAGTCAGTTACCCCTTGGAAAAAAACCTGGTTTTCTGCATTAATTGGTCACCCTGACATTATCCTGTAGGACATGCTGTCAAGCTGTGCCAGGCGCAGAGGCAGCAAAGCCCCAAATCATGATGCTCCCTCCACCCTACTTCACCTTCGTGATGATGTTTTCATGTTGGTGTGCACTGCCCTTTTTACAGCATACACACTGCTGCATGTTGTTCCCTCACACACTTGCAGCTACACTGTGAATGTTTGAATGATATTTTCATAAAATTTCATACATAAATAAAGATCATTCCAGAGGGTTCACTTACCTCTTTTTGCTACTATATATTATTGGATTATTATCATTATTGCAGGTAAGCGTAATTTTAATGTTGTTCTGGTGATTGTTGTTGTTGTAACTGCTGGGTAGTTTAAACTGATGGTAATTTTTGTATGTAAAATCTTAATCTGCACAGTAGCTGTAAGATAATGCACTGCAGTCCTCAACTTGAGTGAATATACGCAGCTACTTTCTGCCATTTTAACACTGAACTCACCATTTCAGACAAAATACTTTTTATGGTATTCATTGACTTTTGGACTGCCACAAGTGATGATCTCAAAGGTCCCATATTTTACACTNGCTGAAATACAACACACAGTATGGGCGCCAGTTTTCACCTCATAAGAGGGATTTCTGGAGAGTTGAAGCAAAACAGTTGGCGACAGCTTTGTTGAATTTTTGAAAACATGCCACAAGTGATGATCTCAAAGGTCCCATATTTTACACTTTTCTGGTGTTTTAAGTTTTGATATCCACAAGTAAATATATTTGTGGTTTTAAGCACCAAAAAACATCAGTGTAGTTGTACATCTCCTCTCTCAGGTTTCTCTCTGGAGTTCTAGCAACAACAGGTCAGTCAACCAATCAGAAGAGAGGAGGCTTTGAGCCTCATGGTTCATTTTAAAGCTCAGCTCACAGGCTGTGTGCATTTCTCTGTGAACTGAGCGCTTTGATACTTTCACAGTATTAATATAGAACCTAGACCTGCTTTATAATCAAAAAAGACATGGGACATGGACGTCTCACTATTACGATCATAAGGTACACTGTGAAGGCAGCAGGGCAGCTGTAGCTCTGGAGGTAGAGCAGGTTGTGTCAATTATTTGCAGGGTGGGAGGGAGGCAGATTTAAAGATCCCTTCCAGAGGGGAAAATACTCTTTGAATAATAATTTGTCTCCGATATGGTTTTAAATTATGGCTAAAAAATCCTTCTCCCATATTGAAAAACAATGCAAATTCTATAAATGCAAATACTATTCATTTCAAAACTACTGGACACAAGATGACTTTAAAATCATTCCTGTTTTGATATTAAGCTTGGTTCTGCAAAAGTTATGTAACTAAATCCTACATGTGTTATACTCACCATGGATTCAGATTTAAGGTGAGCACAAAGAAGCAGATGAATGTGAAAACAAACTCTGCACAGTGAAGCTCCAACATCCATGTGAAGGAGCAGTAAAGTAAAACACAGTTTTGGGTGGAGGGGGACTTTAAGTCGAAACTGGCAAACACATCTTTGATATGACGTTAATATATTTAATTTTAGATCACTCTAAACCTGAGTGGGATGCTCAGTGTTTTTTTTTTGGCGTGGTGACAGAGTGACTGAGACGTGACAGTCACTCTCTGGTTCATGTTTCCTCTGCAGCGGAACGAGCTTCCATTTAAAGCCCCCTCCCCAATGGAGCAGTTTTGCCGCCCCCGGGAGGTGTGACGTCACAGATCGCGGTCACAGCAACGTCATTGTTCAAATATTGAATGAACAAAAAAATAAAAATAAAAATAGAAAAAAAAGCAAGTCATGCGCGTTATATAACTGATTCCAAGCCAGCAGAGTTATTACATTTTAAAAGAACAAGCGGCCACTCAACTGCTTTACAAAACAACATGATCCACACTTTATTACTGTTATTGTCATACACAAAACATTCATCTGAAACTAAATAGCTCAAGTTCAAAACACAGTTTGGATTTGTCCTGACGAAGAATCACGATGATTTTCCCATAATATTGCTGTTAAGACTTTACAGTGTGTATGTGGTCCTCAGGTGAGTTTACTGTGCATTATGGGTTATTTCTTAGCTCCTACTACATCACAACAATGATCCTGTGGTTCTCCTACAGACATAAAGTGGCTCTGAATATTTACAGTAACTTTATTGGTCTTGATGGTTTCCTCATCTCCTGTCCATCACCACAATATCCTTATAGTTTTTCTTTGATAATATACTTTTAAAATATATTCTTATCATAGAACTACTATAGTTTATTTCGTAAGGGTGGGGCAGTCACCCCACCTGCTCCTCGGCTGCATCATAAAAAAATATGACAGTAATTACAAAGCAATGGAGAGACAGTTTTTCCGACCCTCCATCTCACTGCAACATTCAGATGGTTCAGATCAGATCATAAGCACTTCAGCAGGAAAAAGTTACAGAAAGCTCCCCGGGGACAGTCGCACATCTTCCCGATCCGAGCGCCTTTTCTCACTGCGCACTGCTCCCCGACATCACACTGACAGAGAGAGAGGGGGGGGGGGGGGGGGGGGTCATTTCTACTTGCTGCGACACCAATATCAATATCAATAAATAGGATATATGTGTACAATACCGTGGGGACTTGGCCAAATTTCTTCTCCCACATAGGCAGTCGTTTAGCCTGCAGCTTTTCCAGAACTTCTTGGAGAGCTCCAAGCTGCCAGGAAACATAAACACAGCAAACGTGCTTCATTAATGTACCTTTTGTTTGATTTCATTTTATTTATTTTTTTTTAACAACGGACATACATATATATATATATTAGTTTGTCATATGATCAATTAAGAGAAATGCAAAACGATTGAAAATCTGTGGTCTGTCGGTAAGGACATGGAGATATAGTGAAGGTAAACATTTTCATTTGCAAAATAGATTTCAGCAAAAATGTGAGATTTTGGTTAAAATGGCAAAACTTTTATGACAAAGTGAGAAATGTTACATGACGGTGAAAATCTTAAATCCATGCATTTCTGAATGGAGTTTGGCTCATTTTAAGGTGGTCACGGTGTTTTATCACAGTGTCACTTAGATTCAAAGTGAGTAACGCGCAAAAGAAATTTAATAAATTACAAATTGATTTGATAAAATAATGAAACATGGAAAAAAAGAAAAAAAAAGTTGCGGAATGAAAGCGGAGATGTGAATCTTACCAGCTGCTTCTCGCTGGTCAGGTTCGGACCTTTGGGGTAGAAGTCCCGCAGGGCTCTGGGGCTCAGCTCCTCCTCGGACTCGCCGTCCAACACTTCGGCTCCAGCGGCGCCGGAGAGCAGCAGCAGTGCGCAGAGGAGCGCCCCGCTGGGCAGCCTGGAGCTCTGCATGGTCCTGATGTGCGGCAGCATGTGGCCCTTTCCCCGTCTCAAATAGTCGCTCAGCCCGCGCCAAACACCTTTTTATCTGACTCCTGCCATCTGCTCGCTCCACCTTATCCTTTGATTTTTTCTTTTTGTCATGCGTAACAGCTGCCTTGGGTGAGTCATCCCGTAAAAGTTGCTGGGCAAAATATGCCTCAAAAAGTCAACAACAACAGCAGCATCGTTACTGGTAAAGTAATGGATTACTCGTTACTAATTGTAAAGTGATGAGGTAATTTCTGTTGAGCTTGATGAGCATTAAGGGAACTAGCCGATTAGATCTTTTTATGTCTGCATCTGTAATTTCTGTTATTATTGGATTCATTTCAGTTTTAACAGAGATTCTCAATTATCACTCTTTTACAGCCTCAAGGAATCAATCTAACTTTAATAAGAGCAAGGATGTTCTCCTCTCAGCCAGCAAGTCTGAGAACGCTGCTTTATTTAGTATTCCATGTAGATCAGCAGTAAATTACAATATATCACTTTTCCATTATTACCTCAGAATGGCAATTGCAGCCTCTCCTGCATTTACACTTGGTGACTCAGTCAGTTTCTCTCTGCTGTAAATGTTCAAAAAAAACAACAAAAAAAACAAATGGTGCTGATGTTAAAATGTTCTTGTTATTCTCTCTTTTGTAAATGAAAGTCTGGGGGGTTTTTTTATTTAAAAATTGGATCGTTTTTATGAATTTAGCTTTAATCTTAATCTGTGCAGGGACTGACTGGCTGACAGAGTTTTGATTACCAGCTGCAATCGAGCCGTTATTGGAAGGGAAGGGGTGATTTGTCAAACCACTGAAGTCATTTCTCTAGTGGTTCATCTCATTAGTAACAAACACTAATTAGCAGAGTCACATTTTTTACACATCTATGAAGAAATAGGTGGAAAATTACTTATTATACAGTGTTAGTTTACAAAGCATAAAAAATGTCTTTAATTGTTTGTATCTGCACAGTAAAATTGTAATAGCATCATAATTAACCTGTAATCTAAAGGATTAAATACTTTGAACTTAATGTCAGGGTAAATGATGTCAGTAAAGAGAAGCAGGAGGAGTTGAGAAAGCAAACGCCGTTTACTGCGAAATAAAAAAATGTGATCAGCTGCACAAAATGCACTTTGACTGTTTAACCAAACATGTTCTGCGCCCCGCAGCCACAGTATGATATCATTTTACCTTTTATATAACCACTGGGCCAACTGTAACAGCGCAGAGGATGGATGTTTACACACAACATGGATGGCTCGCATTGTGTTCTTAATCCTGTTCTTGAGTTCTGCCGGTTCACCGCATTGAACGCTTGTTTCAGAGCCTCCTGTTTTCGGGTCCATATGTGGAGACGGAGGAGCAGGAAGCTTTGATTGTGCTCGAGGCTGCATGACTCATGTCTCTCGCTTCCCCACTTTTTAATGACTGAGATGCCAATTTAACATTTCATTCACAACAACCACACCATTTCATTCACAACCACGAGTTCATTAGTTGTTGCACCGTATCCCTGACAGTGGTCTGGCAGACGGTCACAGCTCTGCCGGAGCCACTTCCCTGGTCTGATTCGTTTCTCTGTTGGTTCGGGTGTAACGTTGAGGGCATGAGGTGATATGGCTGAATCTTCCCTCAGATTGTGTTCTCTCAAGCATGAATAACAACCATTTAGTAGAGCAGATTATATTTAGAGTTGGCTGACTCAACACTATAGCATTATAGCAATAGATATAATTTGCAATGTATATGGCTTCTTGCAAGAAAACATTGACGCCTCAGAATAACAAACCTGGCGTCAGAAAAAACAAATGAGAGGAAACAGGATTTAAATGTTTGTTTTAAACCTGCATTCACCGACTTCTTGGCCACTTGGCAGCAAAACATGAAGCTATGAACACAACATTGACATTAACATAAAGTTGTGGGAACATTTATTGGCAAAGAGTTCCCTGTTTACACATCCAGCAGACACAGTAACATTTTCAATCTTTTGGAGTCAGTCATGTGAGGGGACCGAGCAAAACCTCCAGTCCAGTGTTCCCTCTCTTCTAGCTCCGTGCTTGGTCTCCACCAGCTCCTGAGGGAAATCTCAGGCTCTTTAGCTGCTAAGTGCTCCACCATGTTCGCCAGCTGCTCTCTGTGTCTGTCTGTCGTTCGCCGCTGAGCAGGTAGTGGACAGTGGCTTTTTACAGATGTTTCCTAGAAACAGCTGTCTGCTGCAGACCGAAAATGACACTATGAGGCCGGAACCAGAGCGGTAAAATATTTATGGACTGGAAAACAGAACAATGAGCCGAAACTCACTAAAAAGCTCCATATAGATGCAGATTCAGCAGATAATTCTCTATACGTTCATCACTATGAGTGACGCCTCTCAACGTCGTTTTTAATATTGTTGTGTGATTCCTTTTTTATTTTCTTAATTCTCCAGTGACATTCTGGTGATAGTTTTCAGTGGGTTCATCACTATATATATATGTCTCCTTCATTTGTCCATTGTTAATGTAAAATTATTTATTAGTGCAACTTTTGTAAAAACAAAGACGGGACAAATAGAGGAAACAGATGTTGAACTTGCAGGACTTTGACAGCTCTTTATTTGCCACTAGTTTACCAAGAATTTTTTTTCTTCTATTTTTAGGAAAACATTGGAAACACATTGGTTGCCTCTAAGGCAGCGGAGTCCAAACATTGGTTCCCGGTACGAGGGTTTAATGGTCTGTTGATCCATTCCAGCTTGAAATCATTGAGGATGCTTTTCATAAAATTCTCCAGACACTCTGTATGACGGATAATTGGACACCACTGTCCATATCGGACATTAAGCCCGACCGTCTTGATATCCTGAGGAAAAATGAATTAATTCAACTTTCATTAGCATTTGAAGCCCTCTTTTACACCTCTGCAGTCTTAACAATTTTCTAACAAAAAACTGAAAAAGAAAATTATAACGATATTCACATGCCTGGAGGCAATTTTTTCATCTCCATACCTGGACCGAGCATCAGATATATTGGTAAAAAAAAAAATAGTGTGTCTAATCTAAACTGCATGTCTTTGGACTGTGGGACACAAAGAGAGCAAGCAAACTCACACACGAAGGTCCAGGTCAGCGGATTCAAACCTCAGCCCTTCTTACACCAGTGTTATAGTTAAAGCATCCGCGACTACACAAGGCTCTGCTAGGGTCTGCGTGACATGAATTTCATCCTAAATGTCAGTGTTTGGGCGTATGTGAGGCTCTGGTGCAAACATCTGCATACGCACCAATTAGAACATGGCTGCACAGATAGCCCATGTGGCCACTCCGCTACAAGGGGACCGACTGCGCAAGTGCTAGAAAACAAACGCTGGACACTAAAGGTTGACGAAAGGCTGTGTGAGGAGTAAAAGAATAAGTGCTGCAAACTAAGCAGCTCTTCTTCTTGCATAGATGTCGCCATTTGGCTTTGATTCATAGTGCACATACGCGGAAACGCAGATGACGATATACTGCGTGTGTGTGGAACGCGTCCTCCAAGTGGAGTATAAATGAAAGCCAGTACGTGTCCGTGGTGTTCGCAGCTGTCTGTGTGTGCGTCCGTAAGCTAGTATAAGTGAGGCCTTGCTGTGTGGCAGAACTGTGTGTGGGGAAACACAATATTTCTGGGATAGATTGGCCTCTTGTCCTCTATGCTGAGATATTCTCCAATCTGCACAGGATAGGTCGGCACAGGTAATGGAAAGACAGGTAGCAGTAAAATCAACATCAGCATCTTAACGAAAACATGAATAATTAGGATTAATTGAAGTTTTAATGAGTGAAAGACACCAGAGTACCAGGCGTATAATAAATGATAATAATAAAGATGGAGCAGCACGTCTGAAATAGTGCCGGTCAAAAATGAATGAACTAATCTTTTGTGACGGTATCTTTGTGAGTTTGATGTGAATCAAGCTTCCACTGGTACATGTTGCCTCCGGGAAGCTGCCATCCCTCTGAGCAGTGCAGGGACTGACTGACATGTTGTTTCTCGGGGGCTTGCTGTAGTTGTGTGTGCTCACTGTTGAGATCAACAAACCTGTATTCTCAACTCGACTCAGCTGCTGCTAGTGACGCTCAAAGCAGTTGTTTTCATTGTCCCAAACCATTAGAATCAGTTCTTTATATATTAAATATTTGTTGAAAAGATTGGCTCACTGAGCCGCTCGGTGCTCGGCCGGAGCTCCAGCGGTGTGAAACATGACCGAATGGTGCATATTCCTCATGATCTCCAACTTCTGGAACCAGAAATACTTTGTCACTTTGACAAACGCACTGTTTGTAATTCTTGATATTTTAAAAGTTTCCTCACTATCTGATTTTTAACCGATCAACGATCCTGCATTATTTCGAACTTGCTGGGCCTGAATCGAGCCGCTGGCGTTCAGTGAATGAATCAAGGATCTGAGACAATCCTAGGAGTCGCTGACTGTCACTGAAGTTCTTTCAGTTTTTGCTGTTTTTAGCTCTGCTCTTCATATTGTGTTCTGCCATTCATATATTTGCCCTGCATGTATCCTGCTCAGCTGAACTGAGAATTGAACGGATTGTTTCAACACTAACTACAGACCCGCTGCTCTCGACACTTCGCTTACATGCCAAACCGCAGCCTGTATGCTGAGTAATGCTGAACAGACCACAGCTGAGCCTTGGAGCTCACCTGATTCGTTCATGTACCAAACTCAGACAGCAGACTCATGGTTCGTTAGCCTGGGAATATTTCCCCTGGTTCCTGCTTCCTGTGGACTGCGGTGAGACTCGCTGCTGCAGTTTGGTTAAGTTACACAACTTTTAGTGCCTGTTAGTGTTAGTAATTGTTTTGCATTTTGGTTTTTAGCACTTAAATCCTCTCCAGGTTGTTGTTTATTTCTGCCACTATCAACAACAACAACATATTTGTTGGGTTTGTTCACTTGAATATTCACCGCGCCTCGGCGAGGAGCCAGAATCGGTTATCTCCAATTGTTGCTCTGGTGACGGGGT